CTACAGCTCACTTCATCGGATGCATGTTTGAATCTCAGTGCAACTCACTGAAAGCAGCTCCCTCTCCCACTTGAGCAGAGTGTTACTGCTCATGCAGGGTCAGGGCATCTGCTCCAGAGAGGCAGAATGATAAATGACACTTTACTGTAAGTCTGTGCCTTGTTTGCCTCCTGCTTCTGCAAAGCATGCCCCCTGCAGTCCCAAACAAAAGACTTCCACCAGATGAGGTCACTGCAAAAGAAACTGCAGTTTGCAGTCTGTGTTCTCGCAAACTCTCCATTCACTGCCAAAAGGTGCATCCCTACCCCTGCCTGGTGCTGACTGCCCCAGAGATTCATGGATTCACAAGATTGAAGCAGAGCTGGGAACTTCCCTACAGGAAGCCTGGTGGGACACCATCAACCAAGGTCATGCTAGCTGGTGCAATAGTCCTTAGCAGACTAGGCCTGGTTGATAACGATGTTTTTCTCCTTCTGAACCAGGGTGTGTTCCTGTGGGTGTGCCGATGGTCTGTGGATATACTCACTGCGGATATGGATATCCGTGGATTTGTAGGGCTCTCGTAATTAACAAGTGACCCATCCCCTGTTGTCCAGTCCCAGTTTCTGGCAGTCAGAGGTTTAGGGACACCCAGAGCATGGGATTGCATCCCTGACCATGTTGGTCCCCTATGAATTTATCCAATTCTTTTTAAAATCCAGTTATACTTCTGTCCTTCACAACATCCCCTGGCAATGAGTTCCACAGGTTGACTGTGCGTCGTGTGAACAGGTACTTCCTTATGTTTGGTTTAAACCTGCTGCCTAGTAATTTCTGGTTCTTTGGCTATGTGAAGGGGTAAATAAACTTCCTTAGTCACTTTCTCCATGTCCCAGGCACGATTTTAGAGCCCTCTGTTGTAAAGCCCCCACCCCCACCCCCTAGTCATCACTTTTCTACGCTGAACAGTCTCAGCTCATGTGGAAGCTGTTCCAGACCCCGAGTCATTTTTAAAAAAAAGAAAAGGAGGACTTGTGGCACCGTAGAGACTAAGCAATTTATTTGAGCATAAGCTTTCGTGAGCTACAGCTCACTTCATCGGATGCATACTGTGGAAAGTGTAGAAGATCTTTTTATACACACAAAGCATGAAAAAATACCTCCCCCCACCCCACTCTCCTGTTGGTAAAAGCTTATCTAAAGTGACCACTCTCCTTACAATGTGTATGGTAATCAAGGTGGGCCATTTCCAGCACAAATCCAGGGTTTAACAAGAACGTCGGGGGAGGGGGGAGGGTAGGAAAAAACAAGGGGAAATAGTTTACCTTGCATAATGACTTAGCCACTCCCGGTCTCTATTCAAGCCTAAGTTAATTGTATCCAATTTGCAAATGAATTCCAATTCAGCAGTCTCTCGCTGGAGTCTGGATTTGAAGTTTTTTGTTGTAATATCGCAACTTTCATGTCTGTAATCGCGTGACCAGAGAGATTGAAGTGTTCTCCGACTGGTTTATGAATGTTATAATTCTTGACATCTGATTTGTGTCCATTTATGCTTTTACGTAGAGACTGTCCAGTTTGACAAATGTACATGGCAGAGGGGCATTGCTGGCACATGATGGCATATATCACATTGGTGGATGTGCAGGTGAACGAGCCTCTGATAGTGTGGCTGATGTGATTAGGCCCTGTGATGGTGTCCCCTGAATAGATATGTGGACACAGTTGGCAACGGGCTTTGTTGCAAGGATAGGTTCCTGGGTTAGTGGTTCTGTTGTGTGGTATGTGGTTGCTGGTGAGTATTTGCTTCAGGTTGGGGGGCTGTCTGTAGCCAAGGACTGGCCTGTCTCCCAAGATTTGTTGCCCTGCTCTGTACTTTTTTCAATTCTAATGTATCTTTTTTGAGATGGGATGACCAGAACTGTATGTAGTATTGAAGATATGGGCATACCCTAGATTTATATGGTGGCATTATGATATTTTCTGTCTTATCTATCCCTTTCCTAATGGTTACTGACATTGTTAGCTTTTTTTGATGGCCACTGCACACTGAGCAGATGTTTCCAATTTCTCTTCTTTAGTGATAACAGCTAATTTAGACCCCACCATTTTGTAAATGTAGTTGGTATTATGTTTTCCAATGTGCATTACTTTTCATTTATCAACATTGAATTTCATCTGCCATTTTCTTGTCCAGTCACCCAGTTTTTTGAGATCCCTTTGTAGCTCTTCGCAGTCAGCTTTGAACTTAACTATCTTGAGTAATTTTGTATCATCTGCATACTTTGCCACCTCACTGTTTACCCCCTTTTCCAGATTATTTATGAATACGCTCAACAGCACTGGTCCCAGTACAGATCCTGGGGGACCCCACTATTTACCTCTCTCCATTCTGAAAACTGATCATTTATTCCTACCTTTTGTTTCCTATCCTTTAACCAGTTACTGATCTGGGAGAGGACCTCCGCTCTTATCCCACAACTGCATATTTTGCTTAAGAGCCTTGGGTGAGGGACCTCGTCAAAGACTTTCTGAAAGTCCAAGTACACTATATCCACTGGATCCCCCTTGTCCACATGTTTGTTGACACCCTCTAAGAATTCTAATAGATTGGTGAGGCATGGTTTCCCTTGACACAAGCTATGTTGATGCTTCCCCAACATATGTTCACCTCTGTGTCTGATAATTCTGTTTTTTATTATAGTTTCCACCAATTTCCCTGGTATTGGAAGTTTGACTTACTGGCCTGCAATTGCTGGGATCACCTCTGGAGTCTTGTTTTTAAATAGGGGTTCCATTAGCTTCCCTGCAGTCATCTGTTACAGAGGCTGATTTAAGTGACAGCTTACATACCACAGTGATTAGTTCTGCAATTTCACATCTGAGTTCTTTCAGAACCCTTGGGTGAACACCATCTGGTCCTTGTGACTTATTACTGTCTAATTTCTCAATTTGTTCCAAAACCTCCGATGAATGCATCCGATGAAGTGAGCTGTAGCTCAGGAAAGCTCATGCTCAGATAAATTGGTTAGTCTCTAAGGTGCCACAAGTCCTCCTTTTCTTTTTGCGGATACAGACTAGCACGGCTGCTACTCTGAAACACCTCAGTCTGGGACAGTTCCTCAGATTTGTCTCCTAAAAAGAATGGCTCAGGTGTGGGAATCTCCCTCACATCCTCTTCAGTGAAGATTGAAGCAAAGAATTCATTTAGTTTCCCCGCAATGGCCTTGTAAATTTCTGCTCAGTGTGCAACCTTATCTGCACACCGGATATGCAGCACGGTACCTCTGGCTTGGAAGCAACATCGCAGAATTGTAAGTGCTCTTTCTATAGTTTTTGCATGGTGATACTTCACAGCGCTCACCAGGGTGAAAGTCACACGTCTCTCCTTAATAAACCGCACACATGTATGCACCTGGGGGTGTTTAAACACTGCCTGCTGGCAGCTTTTATGTGCCAAAGACTAAATATGGGGCTTGGAACCAAGGGCCGGAGGTTGCTTTTCTAAAACAAACAAACGCTGAAATGCAGCGGAGAGTTAGCTCAACCCCGCCTGCCCTCCCCTTCCCCCAGGGGTCAAGGAGACAAACCGGAACTGGGCTAAATAGCTGTGCTGAGAAAAGGCGCTCAGGAGAGTCCTAGGAAACAAAAAGGTGGAGCTTTTGTGGGGCAGGGCCTGCAGTGGCTTTTCATCCCCCTTGGGCGCCTGGCACAGGGCAGGGCCCCACCACAGAGACACAATCCTTGGGCAGAGGCCTGGAACGGCCTCCAGGCCGGGGAGTGTTACCGGGAACCCACTGTAAACCCTCAACCAGCATGTGAGCTGCAGGGGCTGCGAGCTGGGCCCAGCGGGTCAGGGTCCAGGGGCTGCGAGCTGGGCCCAGCGGGTCAGGGTCCAGGAGCTGACCCGGTCCAGCAAGGCAGGCCCTGCAGGCCCACAGTGACCTGGGGTGGTTCAGGGTCCCTGCCGGTGCCTAGTTTCTCCATTCACCATTCAAGGGGCGAAGGGGACAGAGCCAGCCCTAGGCCACAGCAGACTAAGGACTCGCTTAGGGCCCTTATTCACTTTTCATTATAAGCACCTGCCTGTTTTGGCATGGGGGGGTGGCATTGCTGTCCAGGGCCCCCTCTGGGCTAGCACTGGAAGGAGAACAGCCCCAGTCACTGTGAGTCACGGGGTCAGACTAGCTGTGGGTTAGCTACAGGCTGCTTTTGCTAGTTTGGGAGTAAAAGGTCTGGGTGATTAGGAGCTTAGACACACTCCTTCGTCCCCACCGGCCCGTTTCATTAAGTGGTTCAGGGAGAGGCAAATGCTCTTTTCCATGGAAGCCTCCTGTCCCCCCAGCCTTTGCCAGGCCGGGAAGGTGCTAGTGGGGTGGGGTTCTGGTGGCTGGTTAGCCCCACAGCCGGGGGTGGCTGCAAACAGCTGGGCCGCAGGGGAAGGCGCAGGGGCTGCTTGCCGGCGCACTTGCTCTCGGGGGGCAAGCAGCACTGGCTGCCGGGCGTTGGCGGAGAGAAGCCGGACAGAGGCAAAGGGGCCTCGGTGTGTCCCCCCCACGCTGCGCAAGGCGGCTCCCAGCGGCGGCGAGTGTGGACTGGCCGAAGCAATGTCCGGCAAAGTCCCCGCAAAAGTAAACCCTAACCCTAAGCATCGTCTCCCCTGTGTAGGGCCTTGGCTGGAGCCACTGGGCCATTCTACACGGACCCCGGCTTCCCGTGCAAAGGCGCAGCCGCTGCTCCGCGGAGAAGGTCCCGCCTCTTGCAGGGACACTTCGCCTTTTGCTGCATCCCTTTGCTCCAGCTCGGCATGCTCCCGGCCGTTCCGCGTCGTGTCTCGCCAGCGGCCTGGAGAGTTTTGTTCAAACCAATTTAATATGTTAAGCCTCAACACCTCTACCCCAGCCCCGCGGCTCAGGGGCGCAAGCGGGCCGCCTTTGGTTCTTTTTTCTCCCACCTCCTCCCTAACCCTGCCCGCTCCATTGCTGGGCCGTGCAGGGAAAGAAACCGAGACCGACACGGGATCTGGGAGCCGGTTTATTAAACCCGGGAGCCAGGTACAGACACGCTGCCCCCCCCGCCCCGGCGCCCCTTGGCAGCCAAGGCGATCGTTAATGCCAGCGCGGCAGCCACGCTGGGGGCTTCCCGCGGGTCCTGCGTCTCCCCGGGGGCGGGAACCAGCCGGGGGCGCCCGGGGCGCAGGCTAGCCAAGGAGCCGAGGCCCGCGGGGACCAGGACTAACCCCCAGGCACGTCCCCGCTGCGCTCTAGCGCCCACGGGCAGGGAAGCGCCCGCCCGCCCCCAGCCACTCACGGTCTCCGGACCGAGCCGCGCCCGGGGGGGCGGCGCTGGCGCTACCAGGGCCGCCACAGCGCCTGGCTCCTGCCGGGCAGGGAGGGTCTTTGCTCCACGGCGCCGCGCCGCTGGGCAGCAGCGCCCGGCTCAGTCGGGGGCTGGGAGCTGGGAGCGCCAGGGGCCCCGGGGCGCTGCGTGAAGGGCCGGGAGCCGCCGGCTTTCTGCAAAGGCGCCCGCGGCTCCGCCGCGCGGCCGCCGGGCCGGGAGCCCCGGGGCTCCGGGCGCGGCGCGGTGGGGCTGCTGTCCGTGGTCCTGCAGCCGGAGCCGCTCACCCGCGGGGAGGCCCGGGCGAGCTCCTGCAGCAGCTGGAAGGAGGAAGCTTCGCTGGCCCCCTCGGAGCGCAGCAGGAACTGGTTCACCCCATGCAGGCAGCTGCGGAAGCCGGCCTGGTAGTCAGCCCCTGGGAGAACGGAGAGCGGATCAGGAGCCTTGGGACGCGCAGCAGCGGCCCCCGCGCCCCCCCCCCCCGGCGCCGGGGAGGGCCCCAGCCCACCCCATCGGTGCCAGCCGGGAGCCTCCAGGGCCAAGCCCCCCCCACCCCGACAGCATCAGTGCTGTTCCTGCCCGCACCACCCTGCAGATCCGCACCGCTGGGAACCCAAGACTGCGCCCGGGGCCCCTGGCCGGCAGGGGTGCGGGGTCTCTGAACAGCCCGTGGGCTTGGGGCGAGCACCCCAGGGCGGCAGGCCGCCCGCTGGCCGGGAGAGGAGCCTGGGGCGCGTGTATCCAGGACGCTGCGTTACCCGCGGCTCTCTCCTGCGCGCCCAGGGGCCTCGCCCATTGCCAGGCTGCAGGCGCGTCCTGTCCGAGTGCAACCTGGTCTTGGGATGCAGGGGCCGTGTCAGTCCGTGCGGCACGCGCCCCTGCCCCAATCCTGGCCTGCAGACAAGCAAGGAAACAGCGGCTACTCAGCCCCTCCCCCTGGGGGGGTCCAGTTACACCAGCCGGCTCTCCGGCCAGCCCGGCGCTGCTCCGCCCCAGCCTGCGAGCCACGGGATTAATAGACACTGGAATTGACAGAGCAAAGGGACCGGGCAGGATCGTGTCCACACGGGGTTCGGTGCCATCGATATAACGGGGCGTGGGATCTAAATCCAGAGTACATTTCAAATCAGTGTCTTGAGGCGTCCAGGGAACCCAGGCTCGGCCAAAGGCAGCCCAATAACCAGACCCGCTGCTGGCGCCTGGGTACCCGGGCTGAGATTCTGTGTGTTTCCTTGCACCACGACTCGCGGACTCGCATCGTTGGGATGTAACCGGCGGGACCCCGTAACACTGAGCTTCGATCCCGATTAACACAGGACCCATCTACCCAGCAACAAACGCCGAGAGCCTGTTACTCCCGCGAGGAAACGGGGTTTTACCTTGGACAGAATTCTGGAGGCTTTTCATGTACTTGACGCTCAGCTCCAGGATATCTGCCTTCTCCAGTTTGCGCTTTCTGATCTGGAGAGAGAGAGAGAGCCCCAACGCGATCAATAACGTACCGAACGGGGCACGGAATCGTGCTTTGGTTCCACTGTAAATGCGGAGCCAGGACGTGCCCCCTGGGAAAGCTGTTTAGACACTGACCATCTGGGGGCGAGGTTCCCGGGGTGGGGGACTCACGTGGTGGGAATAGTGCTTTTCTAGCAGCGCCTTCAGCTGCTCCAGAGACACGTTAATCCTGGCTCTTCTCTTCTTCTCCATCAAGGGTTTTGAGATCTGCGGGGAAGAAGGGAAATGTTACCGGGGTTTGGCTGCCACTCCTCCGCCGGCCCCAGTCACTTCTTTCCTCCTGCCTAGTGCTGCTGGCAAACCTTGCGGAAGCTACAAAGCTGCGGTTTCTCCTGACCTCCGGGCTGGGTGACCATGTTCCCCCCTCTCTGGGAATGAGCGGCCCTGGGAGTTCGCAGCCGGGGGCAGGAGCCAGGATTTATACGGGGGACTCACTTTACATGTCAATACCGGCATTCAGGCGCTGAGCACCTCCCCGAGGGGGGCACGGGCCGGGGGCGGGCAGTTGGGGAAGGGGAATCCTGTGGCCGAGGAGCCATGTGATGGGCGAGGCGAGGGCGGCTGAGAAGGGTTACAATGACTTTTACCAAGATGTTCAAGTTTCTTTTGTATGTTTCACTGGATTTAAAGAACGGGAACCACCGCCCAGCCCGCCACATCTCAGGGGCGGGGGCTCCGCATTGGGAAGCAAATGGCATCACTAGAGTTACCTCTGCCCACCCTCCCCCGCCCCGTGTGTGTGTGTGGGGGGGGGTTCACCAGGCCCTTGACCTGCGGCTCTGAACTCTCACAGGGATCCCTTTGTGTTCTGCGCCCCTGGGTGCCGGAGAACACGCGGCTCGCGCTGCATGGACTTGTTTGGACCGTGATTGGCTGTACAGCGCCGCGCACCGCCCCAGCGCTCGCAGACACCAGCTGGTTCCTTTGCTCGCGGTTGCTGGCGGCTCGGGTCCCGCTGCTGCAGCCTGTGCGCCCCGGGGATCCCTAGCGCGCTACTGCACCGGGCCCAGCGTCCCTCCGCCCGGCACTGCTAATTAGCAGCGGGTTTGTTCCCTGCCGGCCGCACGCGGCCCGGCCCCGGGCCAGGCTCTGGAAGAGCCCCCTGCCAGGCGGGCCACGGGAGATGAAGACCTGCCACCTAGGGGCAGCCATTCCTCCTTTCTGGCCGCGTTTCACGCTCGGCGCGGGGAGGCCAGGCTCGATTAGCGGCCCTAATGCCCGGACAATGCAGCAATTTTCTGCTCCCAGCCCTTCAAAGCCCGCGGAGGGGCGATTTCTGCGCTCCGAGCGGAGTCAGGGGCGAACACATGTTTCATTAAAGCGTGGAAGGGCCGGGCCAGCCCCGCGCGCTCACAGGTGCAGGTGGGATTCCCGAGGAGCCTGGGAGAGGAGCGGTCCAGGGAAGTGGGGTTTCCAGCGGCGCCCATCTCCTTGGCCCGGGCCCCCTGCACACCTCGGGAACTCTCCCTCCCGCGCTGCCCCTCGTCCCTGTCCCATGCACTCCCGGTGCTGCGGGGGCGCTTTCTCTCTCTCGCTCGCTCGCTGGCTTTTGTCCTTAGAGCCGTAACTATTCCGGGCGCCCCTTCCCCACTGCACGTGGGAACTCAGCAAAGAGCTGGGGGGGGGGGGGGGGGGGGGACGGAGGCGTTCCCGGATTCGCCTCGCTTCAAAATTGCTTTCCACAGTCTAAATTCCTCCAGCTCACTCATTTAAAAGGTTTTTATAACAGACAATTAGGTCTGGTCCCAGATACAAAACCCCAGATGTTTGGAAAGCCACAAACCGTTTGTGAGAGCGCGGCCCGCGGCGCTTTTGACCAGCACAGGGAGAATGCAGAATGAGCACCGGGTCGCCAGCAAACCCGCTGCGGGGATTGGGGGGGGTCCTTATACGTGGTTGGGGTGGGGACCCCTCCAAACCTCTCCGCTCCTCGCACGCGCTCCCCGGGGTTCTGGTCACCCTACTAAAAGCCAAACCTCCAGGGAGCCCTGCGGAGTGCCCCGTGGCCCCCTTGAGTGCTGAAATGGACCCAGGGGTGCCCTGCCGTTGACTTCAACGGGAGAGGTGCAGGATCGGGCCCATGGCTGAGGGGCCCAGCCCAGGTTCACTCCACGGTGTGTAGGGAAAGGGGGCCGAGCCCGCCGAGGGCTGGGGCTGCCCGGAGCGCGCAGAAAGGGCCAGTGTCCCGCAGTGTAAATCGCTGGTGCGGAGCGGGTCAGTGGGTGCCAGGCGCCCCGTGCAGGAAAAGCGGGGGCACGCGCGCGTCCCGTGGCGCCGTGCGGACCCCCCCCCCCGGGGCAGGCCGCTCCCGTCCCGCCACGCGGGGCCCCCTCCGGAGACGGGCCGTCTGCCCCGCTCCCAGCCCTGCTCCGTCATTTGGCCTTTAATGAGGCTTTTATTATGCCCACGGGCCGCGCTGAATCCCGCCTTCGCCGCTGCCCCTGCAGCCCTGCGCCGCTGGCCGGGGACAATAGATCAAAGGGCTGCCGGGCGGGGGCCGCCGGACCCAGCGGGGCAGCGAAGGTGACCGGGGAGTTATTCTCCTATTCACAGCCCGCTCTGCTGCGCCCCTGAGACCGCGGGCTCCTCCCAGAATAGCCCTTGCAGTGACTGGACACCCCTGCTGCCTGGGGCCAGCTCCAGCCACTCCAAGGGGCCTTCCTGGGCCGGGCCCACCACTGCCCCAGGGATGGAGGGGTTGGGGGACACCAGCTCTGCCATCCTATTACCCCCGGCCCTCCCGGATACCTGCCCGGGCCCACCACTGTCCCAGGGATGGAGGGGTTGGGGGGCACCAGCTCTGCCATCCTATTACCCCCGGCCCTCCCGGATACCTGCCCGGGCCCACCACTGCCCCAGGGATGGAGGGGTTGGGGGGCACCAGCTCTGCCATCCTTTACCCCGGCCCTCCCGGATACTGCCGGGACCATTGCCCAGGGATGGAGGGGTTGGGGGACACCAGCTCTGCCATCCTATTACCCCGGCCCTCCCGGATACCTGCGGGCCACCACTGTCCCAGGGATGGAGGGGTTGGGGGCACCAGCTCTGCCATCCTATTACCCCGCCCTCCCGGATACCGCGGGCCCACCACTGCCCCAGGGATGGAGGGGTTGGGGGCACCAGCTCTGCCATCCTATTACCCCGGCCCTCCCGGATACCTGCGGGCCCACCACTGCCCCAGGGATGGAGGGGTTGGGGGACACCAGCTCTGCCATCCTATACCCCGGCCCTCCCGGATACCTGCCGGGCCCACCACTGTCCCAGGGATGGAGGGGTTGGGGGCACCAGCTCTGCCATCCTATTACCCCCGGCCCTCCCGGATACCTGCGGGCCCACCACTGCCCCAGGGATGGAGGGGTTGGGGGGCACCAGCTCTGCCATCCTATTACCCCGGCCCTCCCGGATACCTGCCCGGGCCCACCACTGCCCCAGGGATGGAGGGGTTGGGGGGCACCAGCTCTGCCATCCTATTACCCCCGGCCCTCCCGGATACCTGCCCGGGCCCACCACTGCCCCAGGGATGGAGGGGTTGGGGGGCACCAGCTCTGCCATCCTATTACCCCCGGCCCTCCCGGATACCTGCCCGGGCCCACCACTGCCCCAGGGATGGAGGGGTTGGGGGACACCAGCTCTGCCATCCTATTATCCCCGGCCCTCCCGGATACCTGCCCAGCGCGGAAGCAGGGGCTAAGTGGCGGAAAGTTGGTCTCTGACCAATCCAGGATCTGACCTCCCCCTTACCCCCCAGTCCCTCTCTTCGGGACCCGCCTGCAGTTTAGCGCAGAGACATTTCTGCTCACGCAGGAGAATACAACCCAGGGGCCCGATTAGGCCAAGGGAGCTGGGGGTGCCGGGGGCGCTGCGGCACCCCCTGGCTTGAAGTGGTTCCATCACATACAGGGTTTGCAGTTTGGTTCAATGTCTCTCCGTGCCCCCCCCCATACACATTGTACCAGCGCCCCTGGATTAGGCGGGAGGATCTTGTCCCGGAACAAGGTGGGGGAAGGATGCCAGGGCAGCTGGATTTCCTCCCATGACTCCCAAGTAGGGGCGCTGGAGCAATGGGGGGGGGGGCTGAGAGCCATTGCACTGAACTGTAACCCTGCACCCCAGCACCCCCAGTCCCAGCACCTGGGCCCATGACTCGCGGGCGGTGTGGCCTGCAGACGGCAGCTCACCACCCAGCCACTTGCCGCTGGCATCCCCAGCATCCCTGCCCAGCAGGTCACCCACCATGCCACCGGGCCAGGGGGCCAACCGCTGCATTCCTGCGGGAAGACATCGCCAGTGTCAGCTTCGGGGCTGCCGGGGTGTGTCACGAACCCCGCTTTCATGCAACACAAGGCGGGGGGCGGGGAATCACCTTCCCAAGACAAACGGGAGGCGCGGGCTGGGCTGGCTTGTGCCAGGGAGTCACTGGGCGCTGGTGCTGGCCCAGCCCAACCAGCCGCTGCAGACTCGTCCCCCACGGGCACCAGCCCGAGCCCCTCAGCACCCCTGGGTGCGGGGTGGTTACAGCGCCCCTCCTGGGCGCCGACACGCTCCTTGCTCAGACACCGGGCAGCGGAGCGGGCGAGCCCAGCACGCCCGGACCCACGGGCACGGAGGGGCTGGGCAGAGGAAATCTGGAGCCCCGCGTCCCGTGCGGGGCGAGGTGGGCGGACAGGCCCCTCTCCCCTCGGGGGGCCGATTGCTGGAGCTTGTCTGGCCCGGGCCGCTCGGGCGGCGTTTCCCAGGCAGGGCGGCAGCTCGCAGCGTGGAGAATCGCTGGCCCGCCCCCGGCCTTTCAGTGCCCGGCAGGCTCGGGGGCCGCGCTGGGGACAGCCTGAGCGCAGGGGAGCCAGGCCCGCCTGCCCGGGCAGAGCCGCGCCGAGCTGGGCGCCGCGGGCAGGGGCCCCTGGCAGCGCTGTGTCCGGCTGGCTGGGTGGAGCGCGCCCCCCGGCCGTGGGGTCCAGGGCGCGGAGGGGCCCTGCCGGTGCTGGGGTTCTGCCCTTGGCAGGAGGCGGCTCCGCGCACGGGCTGGAGCCGGGGAAGCCCCCTGGATTTGCCCTTCAGAGCCACGGCAGCCCGGGGCTGGGGAGCCTCCCCACTGCAAACCCTGGTCCTTCTCCTGCCTCCTCCTCCCACCCCTGTATCTGTCCAGTCCCCTCTCCTCCGGTCTCATGGCAGGCTCTCTGGTACAGCACCAACACAGTGGGGCCCGGCTCGGTGATGGGGGCCCTAGGCGCGAGTCACGGCCCGCCCTGGCACAGCCCCCCAAAGCACAGGAGGGACCCTTTAGCTCAGCAGTGCTAGCAAAGGGGGCGGCCAGTCCTACTGGAGCTTGGCACAGCGGGTTGCCAGCCTGCCCAGCACAGAAATCTGGGCCCACCGCAGCACTGGGTAGTGGCATCCCCCTTACTGAACACACACTTAGGGGCTGGAACCAGGTCCCCAGCCATCTGCACAATCCCTCAATCTGGTGCCTAAGCAGTTCCGTTAAGAGCTATTAATATTGTCAATACAATATTAGGGCCACAGCTTGCCATAACCCTGAAGACTGAAATATCACAGGCTGGAAGAACTGAGGACTCTTTCAAACCGCACTGTGATTTAAAATTACTAGAAAGGAAATTGTTGCTGGCAGCTGCTCAAAGAGAAAGTGCCGTGAGAATTAGGCAGTGGTCTGTATTGTTAGGGGAAACTCCAGTTCTCCTTTAGGGTAATTTGTCACCTAATGATATGCTTCCTTGTCATAAACCCCTGATGGCTTCTGTAAGTCTTTCAAAGGAGGCTCTTTGAGCAACCAAATGATCCTTGTTATGCTGATCTCACTAGAACAAAGGAAGCCAAGGAAGCAGAGGGCACTTGGTGAAGTGCGGAGGGTAATTAAACAAGACACTGCAAAGCTGAGCTGCTTTCAAACCAGCTGATTATCGCTTCTCAAAGAGCCATTGGATGCCCCTTGACTCATGGCCTCAGACTGGGTTAATAACAATTAAACATAAACAATGGCCTCATCCTGCAGTCCCTACTCAGGCGATAGGCCAGGGCTGTAGGTGCAGGAGGAAAGCAGCTCCCTTGGAAGTCAATGGGAGTGCTGCCGGTGGGACAAAAGGGGGCAGGATTTCACCCATGATTCCATCATAACCGGCTGACTCACTTCACACATGTAGGACTTCAGGCCCTCTGAACTCAATGGGAGCTTTACCATCAATGCTTTTGGACACAGGATCTACTCAGTGATTCCCTCCGACTCCAGACAGAGGTGTGGGTGTTACTGAGGGAGAGCTGGGCCCATGTAGGCAACATGTGAGCTAAGGTACCATGGGAACCTCACCATTTGTCTTCCATCCTTCTGAGAACTGAACACTGTAATCCTTAATGTGATAGGAAATTGTTTGCATTCATCTTCTGTTCTATTACCTGAGATGCTGCATGTGATCATGGATTGTAAGCCCTATTACAATGCACAGGCCCAAAAGGCAAAGGTTAGGTGGAGACTGTTCCACTAGAACTCAGCATTTCTGGACTTTTTGGTGTTTAATTTCTCAATCTTGGTGCTTCATGACTGTAGCTATTATTTTGCATGAAATGTGACTGGGGTAGAGTCCAGTGTTAGGGGTAGCATGGAGCTGCTCTCTTGGAGTTTGGGATAGAAATCTGACCCTGAGAGCTTCCCAGCATGCAGAGAGTGTGCATCTGGCCTCCCCCCTATTCATACTCCTCCCCCCATGTGCACAGGTCCCACTCCAGTGGGGCCAGGGCCTCAGGGGAGAGTAAGGGCAGCAATCCCAGTGCCTGGCCCTTGTACTTGGCCACACAAAGAAGAGGACAGAGAAAGGCTCCTTGTGCATGGGGGTCTGCCACAATTTGTAACTATTACTCGTTTACATACACAAGGAAATCTCCAGCAAACAGTCTGGAATTCAAATTTCCCTGGATTTCCAAAGACCCAGATGGTTCTGTTCTGAGCTTTGCTTCTTTCTGCAAACTCTCTAGGGTGGAAGCGAGCATATTGCAAAACTGAATTAAAGAGTAAAGAGAAACTATCCTCATATTTTGAGAATACATTGGTCAAGCGATAAAAAGGGGGAAAGAATCCGATCCAGATTCAGATTCGGTCAGGAAGAAAAGGGCTTGCAAACCTTTCTTCTGCTCTAATGGTTACTTACCAATCTTCGTTTCCCTCCAAGGGCCAACTTTTAATCGTGTGCCTGCTTTTCCCACCTATTATTTTAATTACATGGCTATTTCTTGCACAGCAGGCTGTGTTTAATGAATGACTACTACATGAAAAGGCTCCTGACGGTTCAACATATCCCCACACTGCTCTCTGGATTTGCCTATTCTATATGCTACATCTGGCTGGTTTTGAACAACTTGTGTGGTGAGTAGTATTAAACAGTGGAAAATTGACCGAAAAATGTTGCTAATGTGCAATGTTCTGCTCTGGCTATGAGAAGATGATCCCCAGAGCCGGGCTGAGAGCTGCTATTCACTGCTGGTCACGCTCCAGATTTGGAGGCAGCACCGTATTAATGGGCTCTACCCTCTCCCCCCCCAAAACATTACCCCACACAGAGCTGAAGAGTACACAAAATCCCATGGTCTCCCAAGCTGTTCTGGGATCTGCATAGGGAAGTTACCCACCAATTTGGTTCTCAGCAAGCAGAAAATGCATATATAAATAGCACTCTGGACTTCAACAATCTGTGGCATATAAAGGATGCTTGGAAATGTTGGGTCTGACTTTCTTCTCACTTACACTGGTATAAATCAGGAGTAACTCCACCGAAGACAGTGGAATGATATTCATGTGTAACTGCTGTGAAATCGGAATCAGGCCTGGCCTCTAGACTCTTACACGGACATTTGTTTTTGCTCGTCTCAATTTTTGCCAACGAGCTCCTAATTTTAGATTACTGTAAGTGTGCTGCACATTTATCTGCTGCAAACTATTTTCTTTCTTTTAATTAATGTTCTATCCTGAGTCACACTTTGATTAAAGCCTTAGGTCTGCCAGGGAATGCTGAAGTGCAGAGGTGCACTTTGATCTTTAACAATAATATTAACGTTTCTGAGAACCATTACGTCCTTGGATATTGCAATGCCCTGGTATGTAAGGGCACTGTGTCGAGTGACCACATTTACTTTTGCTTGAGTCATTTTCTGTTTTAGTTGGGGATTCAAAACCACAGCTACTGATAGTTATTTTTATTCTGAAGCAAAGAAAGAAAGAATAAAAGTGCCCCCTTTCCCACATGATATTGTTGCTACTCCTGGGAACAGTCTTGGGTTATATGATTCCCAACTTCAGAAGACTTTGATTTCATAGCGGGGGGTGGGGAGAGGAGATAAGAGATTTCTGTGGGCTCCTTCATTGCTAAACTCATGACACATTTCTGGATACAGAGACAAATGCCCTAATTTTTCCTGCACTAGAGAAAGCCCAAGTACAGCAAATCTGGGAATGGCGGTCTGTCCAGTGGCTTGGTCACTCGTTACAATTAAAGCTGTAGTCATCTGGAAAGGCGAGGACCTGACAGGAGGCCAAAGCCAGCAGTCTTTTTTCTTTTATTACATGATACTTTAATTCAGTCCTTGCTTGAGCTATATTTCAATCAGTTAGCTATATTATCAATCACGACTGACTTGAGCAAACTCAAACACAATGAAATAAGTTAGCCTATTCCTGAGAAGTCTGCTAGGGCTGAAGTTTTAACATCTGTTTAGTTAGGTTTCAGCTATAAGCAGCCTGATGCCACATAATGAGTCAAGGGAGTGAATCAAGGAAGTGAATCAACACTGAACTGGGTTTTTCAAGAGTTGAGAAGAGTGAATTCAGAAAGACCCCATTGTCTAAGCCTTTTGTGCGTAGCTCCAGCTGGCCCTAATCTTTAAATATTTACCCTGCTCTATTGTTGAAATATAATTTACACACTTTAGACTAATTCACTGATAGAATGTGCAGCCTTTATAGAAGTTTTAGAGAGTTTAATCTGCAAAAACTGAAGTGCACCCAAAAGAGTATGATTCTGGGTTATCATGTTCATTAAAAGCCATCAACCATCTACAACTAGCTTCACTGAACTCCAAGGAGTTCAGTTACAAATAAGAATTGCTGGTCTCAAATGGCAGATTACTATTATTTTATATACGGCACTACAAATTTTCATGACTTTTTACAAGACGACAAGTGCCCTGCCTTGAAGAGTTTACAGTTTAAATGAGAAATCACAGCTCACTGGTTAAGGATCACACAGGAGAGTGGAGGCTGGTACTGTTGGCATGGGACAGAAGATCAACATTTTCAAGGGTCCACTGGTTTGGAGCACCTCAATTTTTGGGAACCTAGCTGGAGACCTTGAGCCTGAATTTCAGAGGTGCTGAGCGTGCGCAGGACCCAGTAACTAGAATAAGTAAACATACATTCTCTACCTTGCTTTGCAATTGTGGGCTTCTGTTGACTAGTGCACATGCCCCCTCTAGTGTCCACGACACAACACGGTTACAAAAGCATGAATCAAGTTACAAGCCATGCGGGCACTCACCCTCAAATGACACAACCCCAGTGGACACACAGGGCTTTTATTTATTGCTGTCTGGGCCCGCAGGCCCCGCTGTTTCAGCATTTACAGCTTCTCAGCCCTCCCCTGCTCGCAGCAGGGATGGTGTAGTATTCCAGCTCCTTCTGTCTGGCAGTCCAACCCACTGCTTCGGCAGCAGAGAAGCACTTCTGTGTCACAAAGACAGTACAGAGAAACAACGGGCCAAATGCTAATGTCACCTGTAAATCCTGAGTCACTTCTTTGCGTAAATCCAGAGTGACCCCACTGGACCCGAAAAGAACAGGAGGACTTGCGGCACCTTAGAGACTAACCCATTTATTTGAGCATGAGCTGTCTTGAGCTACTGCTGCATCCGATGAAGTGGGCTGTAGCTCAGGAAAGCTCATGCTCAAATAAATGGGTTAGTCTCTAAGATGCCGCGAGTCCTCCTGTTCTTTTTGCGAATACAGGCTAACACGGCTGCTGCTCTGAAACCACTGGAACCAGTGAAGTTATGTATGGAATGAGTACAAATGAGATCATAATTCAGGCCCTTGGTGGGGGATCCCATTCACAAGGACCGATTTCTGCTTAGTGAGCCATTACTCAAGAGTCAGCCCCCTTGTACAAAAGCTAGTGCCGCCCTGCGTCCTCCGCTGCACAGGGGGCGCTGCAGGGCCGCACCGTGACCGACCCGTTCGGAGCCTCGCCCCTGAAACCCTGAGCCGGCTGGGGGAATCTCGCGAGATTCCAGGGCTTCCCCGGCGCTGTCTCGCGAGATTGGGCCCGTCGACGCTCCTCTCGCGAGACTTGTGTCGCGCGGCGGGGTTGCCGCCGGGCCGGCCGCCGTCATGGCCGCCGCGGAGGGGAGGCTGGTCGCAGAGGGCCGGGCCAGCCTGGCCGCCTTCCTGCTCGGGGCGTCGGTGGCGGCGCTGCCGCTGCTGCTGTCGGCGCCGCCCGCGCTGCTGGCCGGGCCCGGGCTCCAGGGGCGCGCGGCGCTGGCTCTGCACGTGGCCGGGATCAACGCGCTGCTGCTGCTGCTCTGGCGGCCGCCGCTCTACCAGGTGCGGCCCGGGGGCGCTGGGGCGGGCCGGGGGCGCGCGGGGCCTGGCTCGGGGCGGGCGGGGGCTGCCCCGGAGGGGGGCGGGGCCTGGCTGGGTGGGGGCGCGCGGGGGCTGCCCCGGAGGGGGGGCGGGGCCTGGCTGGGTGGGGGCGGGCGGGGGCTGCCCCGGAGGGGGGGCGGGGCCTGGCTGGGTGGGGGCGCGCGGGGGCTGCCCCGGAGGGGGGGCGGGGCCTGGCTGGGTGGGGGGGCGGGGGCTGCCCCGGAGGGGGGGCGGGGCCTGGCTGGGTGGGGGCGCGCGGGGGCTGCCCCGGAGGGGGGGCGGGGCCTGGCTGGGTGGGGGCGCGCGGGGGCTGCCCCGGAGGGGGCGGGGCCTGGCTGGGTGGGGGGGGGCGGGGGCTGCCCCGGAGGGGGGGCGGGGCCTGACTGGGTGGGGGCGCGCGGGGGCTGCCCCGGGGGGGCGGGGCCTGGCTGGCTGGGGGGCGGGGTCCCTCCGTTCCCGGTGTTTACACCTGGGACACGAGACCGGTTGGGGGCAGGGCCCCTTGGAGCCGGGGCTGCTGCTCTGGGGCAGAGACGGGAAGCTCTGTGTTTAATGCTCTGCTTCAGATCGCGATCCGGGCCTGCTTCCTGGGCTTTGTCTTCGGCTGTGGTTTGCTGCTGAGCTTTGGACAATCCTCATGGAAGCACTTTGGCTGGTAAGGAAATCCTTTGTTAAGGTGGGGACAGGGACCTGTGTGCAGCGCAGGTCAGTAGGGTCTGAAAACGGTGACTGTACGGGGACCTGTGCTGAACAGCCTGCCGGGTCTCAGCCCTGTTCATGTAAGCCAGGCGACTGCATCAGAAAACCTGCATAGTTGTCACTGGTTTTTGGTCCGAGAAGAAAGCCAGAGACTGAATGGTCAGGCACATCTAACTCCCCTCCTGGCCTTTGCAGCGAAGTGCCTCCCAGTGAAGGTTGAGGTGCACTGAAAGTGAAATAGATGCCCTCAAACCAATAGCTGAGAGGTGGGAGGTTTGGTATCCTATTGCTAGAGATCAGAGATGGAAAAATGTAGTCTTAGGTTATCTACTCAATACCCCTGGCATTGCAGGATCGATTGGTACTGCGGCATTAGTACAGTCTCTACCTGCTGCTCTGGTCTGCTCGACTTGCATCAGGGCTCGTCTACACTGGCACCACTTTAACGTGCCTGGTGTGGTCACGGCGCAGCATTCTTAAAAGCCCCACCTCCACGAGGGGCCGGCTACCAGTGCTGGTGCACTGTCTACACTAGCGCTTCACAGCGCTGAAACTTGCTGCACTCAGGGGTGTGGTTTCAGAGGAGCAGCCGGGTTAGTCTGTATTCGCAAAAAGAAAAGGAGTTCTTGTGGCATCTTAGAGACTAACCAATTTATTTGAGCATAAGCTTTCGTGAGCTACATGCTCAAAAAGCTTATGCTCAAATAAATTGGTTAGTCTCTAAGGTGCCACAAGTCCTCCTTTTTTTCAGGGGTGTGGTTTTTTCACCCCCCTGAGTGAGAAAGTTGCAGTGCTGTTAATTGCCAGTGTAGACAAGCCCTTAAATATAATTGTATTACTAATGCCTTGAAGCCTCCAGTTCCTCCTAAGTGAAAGTCTTAAGTTTTGTTTTTAATATATATGTGTACATAACCTTACACAAATAACATGTTTGTTCCTAACATACATGAATAAACAGTGGAGAACAAGAGTTGCAGAATTCTAGTTATGCTGCTGTGAACGGTCAACACAGTATCATGGATTTCAAAACATAGGATTCCAGAAATAAACACAGCAAAACATAACTGGACTTTTTAAATAAATTAAGTTCATCTTAATTTTGGTGGGTTTCTTCTTTTCTAGGTATATGTGTTCCTTGTCACTGTTCCATTATTCTGAGTATTTGGTGACAGCGATCAATAATCCCAGAAGTTTGTCCTTGGACTCTTTCCTCCTAAACCACAGTTTTGAGTATAATCTAGCTGCTCTCTCTTCTTGGATAGAGTTCACAGTTGAAAAAATCATTTATCCAGGTCAGTAGTTTTATTTGAGGTTTTTGGGTAAGTTTTTAAAGAGAAGACCAATTGCCCGTGTGACTATAGGCTGTATTTCACATGCAGGGACTGCGTTGGCAGCACATTTTAAGCAATTCATAAAGGGAGAAAAATTCCTAGGATTAAATTATTCTCATGCATATGTTAGGTGAGTCCTGGTCCTGCTGAAGTCACTGGGTTTTCTGCCACTGACTTAAGCAGCACCAGCATTTTCATGCCTTGTATATAGGTCTGGCTCAGTGTGTTGGTGTTTAAATACATTTATGTGGGATTCTAATAAAGCATGGTAAAGGATGAAACCTGGCACTTACACTGTTAGGCTTGATTAGTCACATCTAGTTATTCTGTGACAGGGTGTCTAAAGGAGAAGAGATTTTATGAGAGTGTACTGACAGTTATCTTATTCCCAAACACTTTGCATGCTGTATTGACTCTTGAAACGGAGGATAGTTTTTAGGCAATCTGGAATACCAATGAATGTTTAGCATTCTGTTAAAAAGAGTTTGAAGAGGACATACCTTGCTGACTGGATTTTGTTAGTGCTCAAGTAAGATTCATGTTACCAATAATTATCAATTATTTTGGGATTCTTTGTCTTTTTAGAGAAACTTTTTTAAACCAGTTTTCTGGAATGGGGGAAGTATTTATGGCTTCCGCACTGCCAGTATCCCATGTCAGACCAAAGAGGGTTGGATATGGCTTCCTCAGTGCTGCTCTTGAATTGGTGGGGAAAGTCTGGTAGAGTGCATTTGCTCTCCTCTGAGGACTGAGCACATCAGTTTAACCCCATCCAACTTGTGAAACACCAAGAAACAGTGCGCAGTTCTAGGGTTAGATTCTCTTTGGAGCTGTGTATTCTGACCATTCTGCCTTTGCATTTCGATTCACCAGGAAGAGTTAAGACACACTGCTGCCTTATCAGTATAGCTGGTGAGGAGTAAATAGAGTATCAGACTTTTGTTAAAATGTTTTGTTTAATTTTTATAGACTAAAATTGTACAACACACACTGCATTTATAAAAATAAAACGAGGAGTACTTGTGGCACCTTAGAGACTAACAAATTTATTTGGGCATAAGCTTTCGTGGTCTAAAACTCACTTCATCGGATGCATGCAGTGGAAAATACAGTAGGAAGATATATATACACAGAGAACATGAAAAGATGGGTGCTGCCATACCAACTGTAACGAGACCAATTAATTAAGGTGGGCTATTATCAGCAGGAGGAAAAAAACCTGTTGTAGTGATAATCAGGATGGCCAAAAGGTTTTTTTTCCTCCTGCTGATAATAGCCCACCTTAATTAATTGATCTCGTTACAGTTGGTATGGCAGCACCCATCTTTTCATGTTCTCTGTGTATATATATCTTCCTACTGTATTTTCCACTGCATGCATCCGATGAAGTGAGTTTTAGACCACGAAAGCTTATGCCCAAATAAATTTGTTAGTCTCTAAGGTGCCACAAGTACTTCTTTTTCTTTTTTTTTTTTTTTGCTGATACAGACTAACATGGCTACTGCTCTGAAACCGGTCACACTGCATTTATGTTATATATTATCTTAAAACAACAAGAGCATGCACATCAGTCTCTTGGGGATACTACACAAACTTTGGGGCTTTGGTCTGGATGCATCAGGTTAGGTTAATGAATTTTGAAGGTGCTCTCTCCCTACCCTAGGCCTCTAACCCTAAATTTCTTTTTTTACCTGCAATAAAAGAGTAAACTTTTAAAACATGTTATGACCAGTACTTATTCACTTGCAGAAATGAAGCAAATCACCTGGCTCAGTGCAGTAGGGTTATTGATGGTGATCTTTGGGGATTGTCTGAGGAAAGCTGCCATGCTCACAGCTGGCTCCAACTTCAACCATATTGTTCAGAATGAGAAATCGGATACTCATACTTTGGTGACAAGTGGGGTATATGGGTGGTTCCGGCACCCATCTTACGTGGGATGGTTTTACTGGAGTATTGGAACACAGGTATTGTATAAAATACACTTAGCTATCTTGATCTTCTAGTTTTTCTTAATGCTGCCCAGAGCCTGTACCTAATCTGTTTCGCAAATGATCAACTGTAGGAGTCCCTGGTATGGATTTTGACACATTCTGTCTTCCACCAGTACACTTTTAGCTGTGAATCATGAAACTGCTGGCCTCTGAACTCTCCATCATGTGTGATGTTTGGGAAGACCATATCTCCTTAATTTTCTGTGTGAATTAAGCAGAGGCAATGGAGCGTGGGTTTGAGCTGGAACACTTTCAGAGGTTCAAGGTGTGATCTGCTGCTAGCCATTGGACCTTAAAGCTTCCAGGGTGTGTCCAGGCCTCCCTTTCATCTTTACTTCCAAAGTGTCTTCCAGTAAGCCATCAGACTTGCCTTATTCTGATTGAATATTAGTATTGTACAGGACTGCTAAGTAAGTTTAGTGTATATAAAACCCAGGTCAAATACTTGAAACCAACTACAGTACTCCTGTAACTTAAAATGTCAGTATATTGGATATTGTAATTCGTTTATAACAAGCATAGAGTATCCGAGATATAAACCTTGTAGTGTATGAGTGGTGATGGTGTCTGTTGCTATCTTTTAAAGAAAAATTATAAATATGCAAACCACATATGCATAAGCCTTACAAGCCTGAATTCTTTTAGCAGGAGCATATTCTTTGGGTCTGGTATTACAATAGGAAGAAACGTCAGTGCTCTTTCTTCATCAGAACTAATCTGTCATACTTGGGCTAGAATGCAGAGATAGGATTCCGATCAAGAACAAAATTCTAAAAATTTGTTTTTGGAGAATGGGGAGCCATACTGCAGATATACACTTTGTGGACAACTAATGAAACTTCATTTGTTTTTTCAAACAACCAACCAAAAACCTTTCCCAGGGTGAACAGAGTTTTGCAAGGCTGAATTGGACTGTAACCACTTGTATCCTCTTACAGGTCTTACTCTGTAATCCCGTCTGTGTTGTTGGCTACACTTTAGCATCCTGGAGATTCTTCAGAGAGCGAATAGAAGAAGAGGAGTTTACGTTAATTCACTTCTTTGGAGAGGAGTACCTGGAGTATAAAAAGAAAGTGCCATCGGGTCTGCCTTTTATCAAGGGAGTTAAAGTGGAACTGTAACACATGAAACGTCGGACTGGCTGAGCCAACATCCAGCTCCAGGCATCATATGGAAAGGAACTATGCATGGCACTATATTGTGACACGCTGTAGTAGTAGCCAGTCTCTGTTTACGGGTCATCCCCTGGAGACTCATTAAAGGCTAGGCAGCTGGAACGCCTTGCAAATAAACCAGAAGCTCAATCAAGATGAGTCCTTCCTACATGCATAGAGGGATCTTCTGGATTATTTAATCTGTAGTGATCCTAAAATGAAGCATAATGCTGGTGAAAAGATGTCTCGCTCTACCTACACCAGCGAGTTGTACTGAAATGTGTTAACCGATTCTGTTGAAGAATGAGCTATGCACTTACTAGGAACTGCCATTGCACTGGAAGGGTGCTAGTTGGAAGCTCATATTTCTATGGTGAAACCTTAAAATTAAAGCTTTTTGCCCATAAAAAAAGCTAAACAGCACAGCTTTAACCTCTCTGGACCTGACTCGACAAGCCTGCAGTGTGTGGAAGTCCCACTGAAGTCAGTGTGGTAATGTCCTGCTTGGAGGGCTGTCAGAACCCAGCCCTTAATCTCTGTCTTTTAAATGCATGAATTTACATACCGTTTTGGGGATATGCTTACCTGAAAGACTGACAGTGCGGCATAAAGCACTGTCTCCTAATATAATGTTAATAGGGGGCTCTTTCAGTATTCAAACTTTCTTAAATCGCAAATAATCTTTCATTAAATATCATGAAAGCTCAGATTGAAAACTTAACTCAGTTGTGTCCATCAGTTACCTAGTGCCATGAATTTAAGTTTCATTCTCATTTTGTCGTTTTCCCATAGCCCCCTTGGCAAGACTCTGTCCTGTCAAATCGTAAACTTGCTTCTGTAAAACACAGTCTTCAAAATCATGCTGCATTCAATCCTATTTAAATAACTTTAGTTGTTAGCTCTTTCTCTATTTTTAGTTCACTCATGAAAATAAGTTTAATTCAGGGAAATTACAAGTTTGTTCCTGTTTTTGTGAAATGCAGAGAGAGAACAATAGCTGGTAGACTTGCAAAAGGCCTTAGGTGGTAAGATTCTTGCCTGGTTCTAGAATATGACTTGGATGTTTCATCTGTATGGGAAACGCTTCCAGAAAATAAGCTAATGTAGGAAAATATTTTTCTGATTAACTGGTGATATTCTAAATATTCACCATTCTGGATATGATTTGTATTCAGATTTTGTGGTATAATTTATTTTCTGTTACTATATACCAAAGAAGTTCACTGTTTCCTTGATTCCAGATAGAGCTTTCTTGCTGGAATGAGAATTGTATGCTGACAGGTAATGGCTTGGCTTGAAGTATTCCCTTAAGGTACTGTAACATAGTTCAGGAAATAGAGCACTGGCAGAAGCTGCTTTTGTAAAGATGTTGCCAACTTCTGTTGGGTTGTAATTCAGTAGAGTTTTTTTGTGGTGCTGATGACTATATTGGTAGTTTGGAATGCTTAAGTTTACAATTGAAATACCACTGGGAACATACTTGGATATTAAAATGAGGCATGTACCAAACAAGTTGGAAGTCAAATTTCAGTCAACCTGCATACGAAGGGATGTAGGGACAAATTGTTAATCTCTTCTCTCTTCCATCATGCTAAAGCCTTTTCCTACGCAAGTTATGCCTTCAAATTTCAGGGCACCTGCTGCATTGAATTCTAGTTAAAATACCCACTGTTATATTAAATCTCCTACTGAATATATTTGTTGCTTGAGGAAAGAGATATGAAACTTCAGCAGGGCTGTATTTGGTTAATGTTGTCTTTCCTCTGCATAATTATTTGTAAGGACTTGATTCCCGTTCCGATTGCTTTTCCTTTGCAATAGAAGTGCCTCCAATGTACTTCTGAAAGAGCGTTCTACATTTTGCTATCTGTCTGTAGCCAACATACCTCAGAAAAAATCTCAAACCAGTTAAAAACTTAATACGAACAAGGATTTTTGACTGCGCTTATTTTGTTAAGATGTTTCTCATATGAGTTTTTCCATTGTAAATGTTTCATAACTAAACCTGCTATTGATAATGATACTGACCTTCTTTGCAAAGCACTTCGGCCCTGAGCGTTGAAAAGCATCGCACTGTGAGCTGGAGGTATGATTTCCCCTGGCCGTGTACGCGTACCGGCGGTTAGTCTGCGAGAGCTAATGCAATAGCTGTGTAGCCACGGTAGCCTGAGTAGCGGCACGGGAGGCACATCTGTGCCATGCAGAATACAGACCTGCCGGGAACGGGTCAGTGCGTACCCTGCATTGCTTGTGCCACCGTGGCTACACGGCTGTTTGTGCTTGCGATAGCCCTCATCAAGCTACCGTTAATATGCCTGGGGTAGCACTTAGCTCATGTGAGGCATCATGGGTATTCCTAATGCACCTGTCACTGATGACCTCCGTTCTGGTGCCTCGATACTACAGTTACCCTTTGAGTTTGGGATTTATCTGCATGTTCTGAGTCAACACCCAAATGTAACATTTATAGCTATGTTGGAAGAGGACCTTTTTCATCTGTGTAGCTGGAGGTTCTGACTATCACCCACCAAGCCTCAGGTTCTGTTGAATAAGCCCTTTGTAGGATCTGTGTTGTCACAGTGAAAATGCATTTTCTTTAGATTGTGTCTCTCAGCAAGAATATGAATGGGCACAGGAAATGATTTACTCGGTTGATGCAGCGGTCAGTGAAAGCACTTTCTTCTCCAGTGGCCTTGCTGAAATTTATTTTGATATAGTGACAGTGCCCCAAAGTTATTGTCAATATTTCACCTGGACTAGAACTTGCACAAACATCAGATTTGTGCAGGGCAGGTAGGTTCATCCCAAGATGTGCTGAGTCGGAAGAATAATCTTTATACTTCTTGACCTACGGCAAAACTGTCAAACACAAAATCGCTTTTGAAAATGAGGTGTGGGTGTTTGCCCTAAGTACGTTTACATAGCGCTAATGTTCCACTTCTGGGGATGGCACAGTAGTGTGGGATCTTAGTACTTTATCTTGTGGTGTAAATATCTGGAATGATTGCTGCAGCCCTTATTCCCAAAGGAAAGGGGAGTCAGCATTCACAAAGAAATGAAGATCACCCTTTAGTTCAAATTGGGTTTTCAGTTGATTTATTCATCAAAATGGACCCTTTGGCACATGCTGCAGCTCAGAGTCTTTTTAAAAAGTCAAAGACGTATGGTCAATGAACAGCTTCTAGTTCTGTACCCAGTGAATAAGAACTTGATTCTGGCCTTTGGTAGGTTTGCACAGTCTCATGTTAGCAATTAACTTATGAAGTCCTGTGGGAAAGGACTTCAACTCACTCCTGCAAACAGTATTTATGTAGCCTGGGAAAACATCTTAACCACTAAGAAGAGGTACAGACTACATAAAATTCTATGTATTTTTAAAGCAGTCTACCAAATGAAACTTGTCAACCAATCGGATTTCTTGCTCACTGACCGTTATTTACTAACAAGGGTAAAAGGCACTATCATGTTGTTCAGGCCAAAAATTTAGGACTTGTTATGTGCTCAATAGGTTGCAAAAGTGTTCCATAAGGTTTTTTCAAGTCACCTGCTTAGCTTGTATTTAAACTATCCCTTGCAGTGTTTTCAGTTTAAAAGTTGCAATTTTAAGCTAGTGCAGGAGAACCAGAAAGTGAAACTGACCTGTCCATTTTTATTGTCCAAAGGTTTGTGAAGGACAGAGTGATTGAGTGCAAAAAGGAAACTAGATTATTAATAATGTAAGTTGGGGGTGAAGGGTTAGTAAGAACACGTTGAACATTTATCCTAATGTCCGACAAAAAGTAACTTAGTCACCCTGTAAACAACTAATTTCTAAAACTGTTGCTTTTTGTAAACATGTTATAACTTTAGGAATTTACTTTGCCCTGGTTCCTTGACTTTCATTTTCTGCTTGTAGCACAGAGTAAGAGTTCTTTGACGGTCAGGATACAACTTTCAAATAATGGCACAGAGTAACTGTCCATCTATTGCACTTTCTTACTGCCTGGAGTAGCTTCTGATCTCACTGTCTTTATTTTATTTGGCAATTTGTCATTGGATTGGCATATGAGGAGGAAGTCCTCTTCTGCCTTGAAAACACCTCAACATTCCTGTTGCAATACGAGATTGTTACTTTGTTATATCTCAAGATGTTTGAAGTCTGTTTGTTTGTGCTGAAAAAAACTAATGTTTACTAGAATCACTCCACAGTCTATTTGGGCCTGCTGAGACCAACTGTGTGTTAAACAAATGGAGTAGTTCTACCCTTTTTCTTACATGAAGAAATGTTCATTACAGATATTTAAAGGTTCTTTTCTTTTGCAGATTTGAGAATTCTTTCCATTTATTAAATAAAACTCTACTTGGTTAAAATAACCTGAAAAGGTGTGGTGATTATAAGGGAAACATATTCTCTTTGAAACTTATCAGAAGGAAATTTATCTTCTGAGAAGTCTGCTGGTGGGAGGGTAGTTGTCCCATGTAGTCTGGCCCTCCCAGAATTCCCTGGTGAGTGTAGGCATGCTATATTAACAACTTGCATGAAGTATCAACTGACATTTTATTTTTTCAGATTTTTAATATACAAAGCAGTGTACATCTTTTATGGAAAACAAGACTTCTGAACAGTCTACAGCATAAAAACTCAAGGAAGTCCTACTGATCTCATTACACTAAAGTGCAGAAGTGTTAAAAACAATTCCTCCCCAAAAATAACCACCCCAAAACCATAAACTGCCCCAAAACCCAGCTTCAAGGCTATGCAAGGTGACTTTCTTTTTGAGGAAATAGCTACATTCCACATTTTACAAAGAATACATTGTTTACTAAGCTAGACTTTTAAATAAATTGTATTCATTGGGGCAGGGAGTAGGGGTAGAGGGAATAAAACTTACATAGAGCTAGCAGTTTTCATGCATTTAAAATAAATTGATAGCACAATGTCAAAATTAGGCTTATTAATACTCCATTTTTCTAGGTTCACCACCAAGAGTTTACAGTTCGCTTTGAGCAGCTGAGATAAGAAGGGATTTCAGGTGTGAAATATATCAATATTTGTTTTTTCAAAGTTTTCACGTGAAGGAGAAAGGAGACCAATTCCAATAACAAGTTTCTGACCTGATGGGGGCCCACCAAAGAGTTCTGACTCAGGAGATACTGGACTTCTCTGCTGAATAGAGGTTTGAATTTATTGATGCAGAAAAATACAGTGTAACATTGTTGAAAATACACAAACAGCCAAAGAAATTGGCCTGGGAAGTCAGACCATAACTGAGTAAAAACCATCTGGTAATGTAATGAGAACAGTATTTAGATTCACTGAATTGGTGAAGCCTTAGTCTGCATTTCAAGACTCAATTTCATCAAACTAAATTTGGAAATGCTGGTCCTCCCCATCTTGTCAAGTTTTTATTTCAATGGATAGATCCCCTCTAACACGCCAATCTGACTCAACCATAAATGTACTTGAGAAACTCCTATTTAAGTCTTTTGTTTGCATATATGAAATGCAAAGCCGTGTGGCTTCTTGGCATTCTGCCTTGCCTAAGTTGCACAATCTTTCTGGCTCGGATTCTCCGTCCCACCTTTCTGTTTGGTTCTGTAAGTGTCTTTCAGTAGGGGATCCTCAGTGACAATGTTCAGCATTCGGTTGTCGACTTTGGGCTCCCTGTTGTCTTCCATGCTTCTTGTCAAGTCATTCCTAGAACAGAAAAGACACCTTGGCTAAATCACAAAAAGATCTAATTGTCAGATGGCCTGAATATTTTATTAGCAAACTCTCATTTAGAAGAGGTTTCAGAGTGGTAGCCGTGTTAGTCTGTATCAGCAAAAAGAACGGGGAGGACTTGTGGCACCTTAAAGACTAACAAATTTATTTGAACTCAAATAAATTTGTTCATCTCTAAGGTGCCACAAGTCCTCCTCGTTCTTTTTATTTAGAAGAGAGATTCTGGGTAGTCTACTGCTGGCATGGGCAATAGTTGCTGTGTAATAGTTTTATTCTTACACTTTCCACATTTGCTGTATTTTGTGTAGCAAAATTGCAACAGCACAAATCACATGGACATTTTTTTTTAAATAAAATATCTCAAAGTAAGTTCCAGTTCATACAGTATGTAAAATGCTGCAAGTCTGCATGGGATGACTGAGACTTCACTGATTAAACCAGGCTCCAATTACAGCAGTTCTCTAGCACTTAACTCCAGCTATTAACACTTGACACCTGGCTATAGCCAGGACTGCAGGGAGTTTCACCAACAATGAAGGAAGCCGTACCACCCTCCTCTGCAGTACATTAAAGATACTCAAAGGACCATGTCCCCTGATGCTGCTCTATGCTCTCCTCTGAGGTGGAGTGCCATTGTTGCAGGGCAGTACTGTAATGTGCTTTTAGTGGCTCTGTTCCATCTCTTCCCCATGTTTTCCCTCAGTTGCGGCAATGCAGTGGTGAACGACAGGGATCTTTGGCTATGTTACTTTCCTCATTCATGCAGAGTAATCCCCTTCCTCTTTTTCTCCTCCTTCCTTGTTCTCTCCACCAAATGTTCCTAACAATTCAATAGTGTATTTACGTACTAGTCTCTCAGGGTTCTGTAACTCAGGATTTTCTTTAGCACCCATTGCTTCAGCTGCAGCTTCTAAGACCTTAGAGACCGTCTTGAGAAACCAACCCTTGGTTTAAATATTACTGCAGGTGTGTTTTTCTTCCCCTTTGTCTCTTGTAATTGGATACTGAGTTAATTCTGTTTAGATACTGTCCTGTGTTTCTGGAACTTCGAAATTTAGTAGAAAAACAAATTTAGGGAAGGTGGTGAAGAAATTTAGGGGGTGGGATCAGCAAGTAAATTGCTTGAGCTGGATTTTAGCCAGGATACAGTCTGGCTAAAAACCAAAACCCCCACCACCTCTCCCTTCCCCATGGACCCTACCTTTGATGCAAAATGCAGGGCACTTGTTGCTGACCACATTGTTCGGTGTGTGCCCCCTGGCAGTGCCTAACGCTACCTGCAGTGCCGAGGTTCTATGGAAGTCTTCCCTTTGTATTTCCTAATTTCAGTATTTTAGCTGACAATTTTATATGGAAACGAATGACTAGCTAATTTGTCAGTGGCTTGACTAATTTTGATATCAAGTATTCAGATAAGCCATCGGCATTTTAACCATTCCACCCCTTCCTCTACCTGTGTGTTGTGTCGCTGGTCACTGTGCTGTCATCATACATTTTGAGCAGATTCTCTGTCTGGTCATCCTTCAGTTCCTTGGGTTCTTGCAGTCTACAGTGAGATGAAAAGCAGAGTGAGCTGCAGCGGTTTTGGTGGTACGCTGTATTTTTAACAGGACATGAGCAGCACGAGAACTGCAAGTTTCTGTCCACAGAACAGATACAGTATCAGCTAGGGCAGTACAAGCTTCCCTGTGCTGCCATGCCACTGTGCCTCATCTCTGAAGAAATGGGCTCACACGTCTGACAGCTAGGTCGCCATGGTGTCCCTGCTGAGTGCCAGCAAGAGCACTGGCTGTGTTTTTGAAATGTGGCTAAGTCTACTGGGGACTGGACTGAGACACATGAATCCACCTCAAAGACCCCAAAGCCCCTCTTCTTGGGGAAATGGCTCTGTACTGTCTTACCTGGGCTCCAGCCGTTCCTTCACCTTAGCTATGGAGCGGACATAGGGGGCAATCTGTTTGGTGATGGTTGTCAGGTAGCTGTTTTCCTGTTTCAGCTGCAACAGGTCATGTAACTGTGCTGCACGGAAAGGGAACACATTGTAACAGGACCCAGCAATTCACCGTCTTCCAGAAATTGGGGCTTTGGTCCTGACTCTTAGCTTTCAGAGGGTGTTTTTTCATGGATGTCCTAAGAGTTTTTATGAAGTCATCTAGTATGTCCTCTGACCTCTTACGTCTCTGATGGGCCTTGTTACATGCTTGTAAACTTTCTGCTAAGCCCAGGAGAGATGCTGTAAACCACAACCAACTGAAGCACCAGAGGCTGCCATCACTTTATGCTGCAGTTAACCAGCCATCTATGGGAGAGATTTGCAAAGCTACTATGCTGGTTAGATACTTCAATCTCTGAATATCCAGACTTCCCTCCAGACTCTGCTTTTCAGTTTCTCTTTCTCTAGGCTGACATTTTATTTTTTGAATTCTGTGGGTTTTTCTAGTTTTTGTTTCCTGTTCTCTGGCTGCTTCCTGGACCCTGTCCACAGTCTGGTTTGAAACTGTGTTAGCAACTCTCTGAGCTACTGGGTGAGGATTTGCTTGACAGTTACCCATCCTGATTTACCTTCTCTAACAGAGTCTGCTCTGGATGGCTAGAGGAGGGGGTTCTGCTGGGCTGGACCATTCTTGCCTCGCCCGTCGGCATAGAATGAATGAGAGGTGTAGCAGATGGAGGACAGCAGGATTGGGGAAGAGAGGTCGAGGGATCCGCATGTGTGGGAAGCGAGGCTGATTCCTCTGAGTGGGGCAAGGCCTTGCTGTGCTTTGTGTGGCATTCCAGTACTAGAAGCCCTTGGAGCGGAGAGCAGCAGAGGAGCAATTTAGCAGCTCTTTCTTACGTTTGAAACTTCCCCTTTAAACTAGAATGAGTCCTGACCACACACACAGACTAAGTTAGCACGGTAACCCCTATCACCACTTAGCAAATGCATGTTAAACAGAGACGGTGAATTGGGGAAGAACGTCTCCCCACACGGAATCAGTGGGTTAGTGGACAGAACTGTCACAAATACCTTCATAAATTTCCTGTTCATTTGCCACCCTCTGATATGTTTCCTCCCAAATCTGAAACAAAAATAGTGAGCTGGACAGCGCGTTGCAGTACAGGGCTGAAGTACCCTTTCCAAGGGACATTTGCTGAGCCTGTTTCTCTCCCATCATTCCAGGCTGGCAGAGCAATCCACTTTGCAGCTAACAACTTGCAAATACCGCAGCAACAGCAGCCCCTTCAGTGCAGACCAAGAGCCTGGCCCTTTTAATTGTTCTAGTAACTCAGGCTATGGCTACGCTCGCCGCACTGGTGCAGCTGCACCACTGTAAGTTCCCTAGTGTAGCCGCTCTAAGCTGATGGGGGAGCGCTCTCCTGTCAGCTTAATTACTCCAGCCCCCACGAGCGGTGGGAAAAGCACTCCAGCAACATAGTGCTGTCCACACCAGTGCTTAATTTGGCATAAGTTATGTCATGCGGGGATGGCTAATTCACACCCCTGAGCGACGTAACTTATGTCGACTTAAGCTGTAGTGTAGCATAGCCTGAGTGAAGCCTTTGCAAAACAAGAATAAGGCTGGTGACTTTCCATCAAACCATTTCCAGGGGCAAGTCTCCTAGGGCAGAGTCTGCATCCAGTACTGATGAGTGCGATTTCCTACAGACCACACCCTTACTCAAGATCCAAACCTACCTGCTGGCTGGGTACACAGGGATCAGGCTCCAAATGTAACCAGCCTCACTTGCCTCAGAACACAATATTGCTCTCAGCACATCATATAGCCTCGGGTCTTGAGCACAAAACAGATGTCTTTGTCTGGCAGAACTAGAAAAATCTTGGCAGCTAACGAAGATCTCTAGCACTGTACTGAGCCTAATGATTCCAGTATAATCTCATTTCACTCCACCTTGTCTGTCATCTTCCTTCTACCTTCCATCGACAGGAAAAAACCCTGCTGTGCCCAACTGTCCATTGCTATTTTCTGCTCATTTAAAGAAAGAGAGTAGAAATGTGCAAATGCTCTGCAAGGAGCCAACTATGCTAGAACAACCCCTGTTGCCTGCCCATTACGTGTCCTTCCTACTCCGAGATGCTCCATGTTCTCTCCCTGGGCTTGGCATTGGCATGACTCATCCAGCTGCAGGAAACGTACCTCTTCAAACGTGCTCCGCCTCATTTCCACAGACGAATACTCCGAGGCAATCTGCACGTCCATCTGGAGGGACTTCTGTAGGATCTCACTCATGATCTCTGTCTTGATGAGGGAGTGATGCTTTGTGAGGTCACGATGCAGCTCCTGTACCTGATCCTTCAGGTTCTGAATCTCCGTTTGCAGGGTCTGCATTAGAAATATGAAAGGGAGTGAGTTGCTGTGGCGTTTCCCTTTCATCCCGAGGAGACAGATGGCAATGGTTAAAGAAGGGGAAAGTACATGGAAAATCCAGTATGTTTTGATTTTCTTGCTACTACTGTTTTCTCCTGTGGAAGCACTATTTTACCATAGGCACGTAGATGAGTCTTTGTGACTGGGTCACTGCTGAAGGGACAGAAGGCCTGGCCGTTATATATGGTACAGACGAACTCTTCTCAGCCAATGGATTTCACAGATTCCAAGGCCAGAAGCGAGCTCTGTAATCCTGTATAACATGGGTCATGGACCTTCCCCAACGTAATCCCTAGAGCAGAGCTTTTAGTAAACCATCCAGTCTTGATTTAGAAATGATCAGTGATGGAGAATCTGCCACGACCCCTGGTAAATTGTTTCAATGGCTAATTACTCTGTTGAAAAAAAATTATGCCTTATTTCCAGTCTGAATTTGTCTAGCTTCAACTTCTTCTCCCTGGTTCAGGCCTGCCCTGCATCATTACAGGAATTACGCCAGTTTTCTTCTGCCTCTGGGCACTGATCCTGTCAGGTAAGGGAAACCCCTTGGCCAGGGATAGCAGTCCCCTGGTCAGTGGTGAAACCAGGCTGTGTACTATACCTGCCCTCTTCCGTGTACTTACCCTGTACATGTTCTCATAGTTGCGACAGTGCTCAGTGAAGGGCGTCTCCCCTCCTTCGGCCAGCAGGACCTTGGTGCTGATGTAACGATGCATGGTTGGCTTTCGAACTATGGAGCCTGTGATGGACATCTTATCGCAGGGAGGGGGACCGCCTGTCACTATCAGCGTCTTGGAGCACTGACCACCCGAGAGCCTTAAGCAGAGAGCATGAGTTTTTAGAACGTAGATAAGCAGTGCCATCAAATCAACTGCTGTCTCTGAAATTGCCATTCAGCAGAAGCAAACTAGAAAGTGCCTCCATCTGCTCATAGTTGAAACAAGCATCCTCGGACCTGTCTGACTTTTGTGTCCAGTCTGTAGTGCAAGCCAGGAAATAGCCTCTTTGGACATATTTTAGTTAGTCTGCCAAAGAGAAACCAGCTCCTCTTCCTTGAGAGAGCTTTCTTTAGTGCAGGACAAGGCTAGCAGGTCTTCGTTCTATCTGACAGTGTCACTCTTTCCACCAGGCAATTAGAAGATTCTAAGATCACAGCTGCCCTTTGCTGGGAAAGATACAGCAGCAGTTAAAGAGGAGGCCAAAGGTGGAAGAATTCCTGCCCATCAGCTCTATTTTACTCTTGCATTAACTGTATTTATAAAAGGCAGATCATGTGGGCTAGAATATCTGATTTCAAGTTTCATTTCTGACAATGTCTCCAAGGAAGCTCATTGCCTGTGGCTACTGCCTCTGTCTGTGGGGGACAGATCACATTCTGTGTCAGCAGTTATGACAGGAAAGCAGCAAAATCACCACCTCTAATGAGGTAACATCCCCAGTGCCAATCCTGGTACAATGTGTTTTATTTAAAAAGACCCAGGCCTAGATCCTGTCCCTATCATGCAGTTACAGCACTGGGCAGAGTGGACACTTTACCTGGCTAACGCTTCATCTAATACGTTCTTGTTCTAGTCCCTGTTCATCTGATGGAGATTTACAATCATGGAAACTGCCTGGAGGGTCTATACCATGTAATGATGGTCCCTGCAAGGAAACCCCAGTACAGTAGGGTGAGCATGATCCTGTAGTACTCAGAGTTCCTGTTCCAGTGCTACAGTGAAATTGTTCTAAACATCATTTCTATTTGATTTCTTCTGAATCAGTCTGTAACTTTAAATATGAAGGTGTTGTTGTCATAAAGCCAGTAACTGAAGAATAGTTCTAGACCCCAGAGGTATCTATGAGGCTGAATACAAAGTGGCAGAAACACCCAACAAGAACCAATCTCAACCCAGAATGACCATCAGAAACACCTCTTTAGGTATGGATTCTCTTGTGTTGTATCAAGTGCCACCTGTGTCTGTTTTTGTCATCCGACCTATTGGCAAGAATGTCAGAGTCACAAAACCCTGATTCTTGGCCCCCTAGAAGAGTCTTGGTACAGAATCCCTGTATTAATTGCACTGAAAACGTCTTGCTGCCTGCACACAGTGCATTTATTGGCCTCTTTTGATGGCCAAAAGAAACAGCTCTTCTAGGGAGTTGCGACTAGGCTCCAAAAGCCAGATCCAAGGAGACAGGAATGCAATTTTCTGCAAAATATCCCTGGGAGTAGGTGAATTCACTGAGCTGTAAATTTGAAGCTGAAAATTGCCAACCATTCTAGTAAAGAAGCAATATTTGAACAAGCATCAGAAAATATACTCACAGCATGATTTAGCATTTCGTCTGTTATCTAATGATAATCAAACTCTTAAATGGGAAGCACTTCCTATAAAGGAAGGTTTTGCATTCAGACTCTTCCTGCACAGTCCTACACGCAGTAGCTGCTACCACCGTTCCATGCATTATGTAATGAATCAAGTCTCATGCTAGAATCAATGCTCACTGATCAGAGGACGCAGCCGGACACCCACTCTGCAGTTCTTGCTGGATTCCTATCATCCAGCTCTCCGCTTCCCCTCAGAATCCAAGTCTTGTGAAAGGCAGCCCATTATATGTAGCTGAAATGTACCTTGTTACAAGGGAAGGGTGCTCTGAAGTCCCCGGCGCAATGATTAGTTTCCCTGAACTGTAAAATCCACTTGGAAACAAGCAGTGATCCCCATTTCACAATAAGAAACTCTGTCCTGTTTGCAGGGCGAGCAGCTGGAGCAGAGTGGAGGGGCCTAGGCTGCCTGTGACATCAATTGGCCTAAATATATCCAGTGCAAGGGAACTGTGCCCTGGAGAGTTCTTTGAAATTCTGATAAAAATAGTGGCAGACCAACAGGCTGCTCTGGGGGGCCTCAGCTGAAACCAATGACTCAGGTGAGCCCGGCCGAAAGGCAGGCGGTTTGTTTGGAGCGCTACGTGGGCTGGTGTTGGCACTGAGCAGAGGGCAGAGAGAGGACCTGAAAGCTTGCTCCCGGGACAGCCCCAGAGCAGCTGATCAACTAGGTGAGTGAGCGAGTCGCTGTCAAGATCACGGAGAACAGCCTGGGGCTCTTCATCTTCACCGTGCTGGGAGGGGGGTCCGGGGTCCCCCCTGCATTTCACGGGTGGCCAGGGTGCAGCACGGGCAGGCTGGAGGAAGTTGGTGGCCGCAGCCACAGCTTTTTTGCATCGCAGCCTGGTGGCCCCGTTAACCACACTGCATGCAGTGACTGGTGCAAAGGGAAGGGGTTTGTCTGTGCTCAAGCTAACTCTAGACAGAGACAGTAAAGAGTCCCCCCAGAGAGGCTGATGCTGTGAGAAGTGACTCCCCGAGAGACATTAATGGCACCTTGTCAATAACTGCAGGGGCGTCCGCAGTCGCTGAGCCACCAGGAACCAAACAAGGAGCATTGCTGGTTTCTCAACGCGTGGCTCTTGCTGTGTGTGTGTGAGTGGCAATGGCAATGCTGTGCGAGGGCCGTACGGGGCCTCCCACATGAATATTTGTACGGTGAGGAGACCTCCAGGTAGGCAGGATATTTCGGTTGCTGGGAGGCAGAGTGCTCTTGCAGTTGGAGCCCAGCAATGGAGCCAGGAGGCCTGGCCTCTAAAGCTGGCTTGGCAATGTACTCTGCGTGACCTTTGGGTCACTTCCCCTCTCTGTGCCTCAGTTCTGCAGCTGTGAAATGGGGACAGCGGGGTTCCAAGAAGTGATTAAGGAACCGTGAGAGCTTTGGATAAGAAGGGATCGATATTATCATGCCGGATAACTATACACATCAGCCTCTGTCACCTCATCCTCCAATAGCCGCTAGTTACAATGAAAATCCTTTCAGTTATTCCAAATGATTTGTTGCACCCCATGACAGGCACCAGTTACGGTCTGAAATCAACAGTGCTGAGCTCACGGTTTGTATGTATTAGAACAGGGAAGGCTCCTACTTTGTCAGTGATTATTTTAATGGAGGAAATTCTTGGGAACACGTATTGCTTTCCTCCCAGACTTTTGCGATTTTAATGTTGTGGGATTTACCCATACGCTAAGGATGGCATTGGTCGTGAAGGGATAAATGCTGTCTGTCTTATGTCACTCGCCAGTGTTTGCAAGGAGAAGGTGGTGTGTATGTGGAGGAATTTCTGGCAGTTTTTCATGAAAGCTGCTGTTAAACTAATCACTTGTCTGTTGACCTGCTTTAGCCCTCACCCCTTGCTTTGCAGTAAGGATGAACCCACCTTTATGAGTCTATCATATCCGGCCAGACTGGATCTCCTGCAAAACACAGACATGCAGCTCCCCTTGTGCTCCAAACCAGGTTTCCAGGAATTGCCAATTCAAGTCACTGTGCCTATTCCTGACATTAATCAGCACAGCTGTTATGCATTGTCCCTAGGACACCTCTCATCATGACAAAGTCAAGGGCAGCTCACTGGAAAGGTGACGCTACAAGGAAGCATCAGAGCATTTCAGACCAATGCACTGGGGTGGGTTTTAAATTAAAATAAACAGCCGCTTGTGGCAGGAATAACAAGGGTTGCTGCAGGTCAGGAGTGAGGTACTCTGGCAGAGCCAGGCGTGGGAAATTTGCACGGTGCTTGCTCACAATACACTTGCTTCAAAGGCTTACTGTGAGGCTGTTCCTTTCAGGAGCACTAACCTCTAAGATGTGCTGGTTCCTTAATGCCAATGTAGGAATAGAACTGGTGTGTTTGAATGGTAATTCCACAGTCACAACAGTCTCAAATGTGCTTGGCATGCTGCCCTCTCTCAGCTTTGTATTTGATATACCGTGATGGCTTGTTACACTGTAGGCTGTTTGCCTCTTCCAGGATCACGTATTGATTATCCAATCGTTCTGTGCATGGGTAGTCTTTCGGGGGGGGGATTTTTCAAAATTTAACAAACCAAATTTTCCAAACCAACTCATGAAGCTACTGTGGACGGAGGCTGCTCCCTGTGAGTCTGATCACTGATCCTGGTCAGGGAGCCTATGACTTCTCCCTGAACGTGGAAGGACTGGTGACTTGGTGTGAGAGAGATTTACCCCATGTACAAATACATCCCATACCAACCTCTTCAAAAGACAACTGTTACAAGGCACCTTTAGTGCCCATCCCCAGAAAGTCTAAGTGATTTTGGAAGAACTTCACCGGATGGCACCACTAGCCTTACTGCCTGCTGGAGCCGGCCAGCTGGGGAAGCAGCGAGGGTGCACTTACTCCATGCTGCACAGCAGTGTCTATATTTCTGATCAGACTACTCCTGTCATCCTGAAATCAAGAAGGCAGCTGGAAGAATGACACGGGATGGCTCAGTGTTTAAAAGTCTATCCCAAATAGCCCAACAAACTAAGCCTCCAATACCTGACATTCCAGTTTCTTCCACCGTTTAATCTAGACTATGTTTATAACAGATCATGCCTCTAAGTACATGTTCAGATGCGTACAGGACTGCTCAGTCCTTTGAAAATACAACTTCATGTTGTTGTTTCTCTGGTAAATTGCAGTTTGAGAGTCCTGCGTGAAGGTGGATCTCCTTTAGTTTGTAGGGATAACTTCAAATTAGATGTAATTGAAAGAAACCCCCCTGAAATGTTTGAAGAGAACTCACTTTCTGCCTCCATCCCTGCTCTGACATGCTCCTGTGAGATTTCCAGCCCCAAAGTACCAGTGCGTAGTGATGCTTCTCCAGACCTCAGTGCTTCGCCCATCACTGAGAAAGTGGTGCTGGATTCTGCTGGCTCTGTTTTAGTAAGGTGCTCAGATGCATAGGTGAAATTAGATATGACACACATGGCCAGGATTCACTCCTGAGAGATGGCAGAGTAGAAGCTCAGCGTTAGCATCCCATGGACATTGACCACGCTCTTCTGGCCAGGATTCACCATCAGTGCTGTGCTACACAGCCACCTGGGCACCTTTTCTGGCTTATCTGCATTTTGTGTGAGCCACAGGTTAGAATTGCTACTTTCTTTCCAGCATACAAATCCTAAATTAGTATTTATCCTCCAAATCTTATTGTAAATATAAGAGGCTCCTGGAGACAGTCATTTCCCTCTCCCTCCCTGAGGATGTAGCTGAGAAATGGAGCATCTTACATGTTTCCATTGCTGATCCCTGGTCCAATGCCACCTCCACTCACCACCACAGACCGGCGCGGATTCAGCAGCAGCAGTGGCTCCAAGCAATGGGCAAACTCCGTCCTGTATTCGGTGTTTATCTGCAGGGGGCCAAAAGGAGACCGATTAGAACATCTGGTAGGCAGGCATACCCAGCTGGATTCTGTTCCTTCAGCGAATAGTCTCTTGCTCAGATACTATAAAATGCAGTGGGCTCAAGACAGAGACAGCCCCTGAACTCGTCAGTATAGGACACTATGTTCTGTCTGAGAACCAGCCCATTCTACCCTTTGCTTGCTGGGGGAGGTGTTTTTCCTTGCAAGGAAGAATGAAACATGCTTTGGGAACAGGAAATAACCCTCCAGTCTAACGTGCTATCTTGGCTTATCCCTTGGGCAGCGATTTTGCTGCCAGGCTGCTTGTGTAAACGATGGGCATGCTGAAAGCGCTGTGGACTTGAGGCAGCGTGAAGCTGGGGAAGTAGCAGCAGTAACTCCAGCCTCTTAGACATTTGGAGGTGAATTGGAGGCAGGTTCAGGACAGAGCCCCAAAACCGCCATGAGAGGGTTGTATTCAATTCCAGAACATGGGACTCAAGAGACAATGGAGCCTGTGAGTTGGGAGGAAAGGGTTTACCTTGCTAGTCTGCGTAGGTCTCAACCGATGTGGAAGTTTGACTATTTTCTGGAGCCTCTCCATCAGTTGCTGAAATTAAGCAGAGTATTTTATGTTACAGCTTTCAGCTCCATGCCTTTTTGCCACAGTCCTGCACATGCCTCCCAATACTGGCCAAGCTTTCAGACGTGATGGGAGGCCACATCTTCCTGTGTGCACCCGAGAGCGCTTGTGAAGCTACAAGGTGGATGGTGAAGGGCTTTTTGCTCAGCTCCACAAAAGAGGGGTAAGTAAATGTTTCCAGGGCCTTGGGGCAGTGACAGGTGCATGCGTCTGCGCTTCTGAGTCTCTCTGGCCTGGAAGCCTGGTATAGACAGGTGATGGCTTCTGACTTTGCTTTATTTCTGCTTCCTCGCTCAGCTGACACCAAAGTGCAGAGAGTGCGAAAATAACCCCCAAAGTATGAACCAGTGAGCCAAGAGTTTTCCCACCTCAGGTTGGTCAGTGAATTTGGGGCAAAAGGCTGGGTACTTTCTTTACTCAGCTCACCCATCCCTTGCTTCCTGGTGAGACACACGGTTCTGGATCTACCTGGAAGCCAGCTGCTAGTGTGCGTTCCAGTCTCGCAATGTACTTACGTATCCCAAATCCAGGAATTCGGCTTTGTTCGCAGAGCTCAAAAAAGCAGAACAGGTGACCAGATGGACCTAGACATAATGACAAGCAACAGTGCTATTAATCGCATCTGCTGCAGCAACCCCCAGGTCTGGAGGGCGTGGGCACCTAGAAATGGGCTGTTCTCACTCATGGGGAAGTTCCCATTCCAGGTATAAGCAGTAAGTGCTAACCCAGCAAATATCACTGCCGCAGAGACAGTGAGGAGCCTGGCAGGGCCAGATGGAAAATCCGCACTGCCTGAGGACACAAAACAAAAGCCCTATGTGCAACAGAGCCACCCTTCCTCTGGGAATGACGCTGCACAGAATCCACCACTCAGAGGGACAGATCCCGGGAGATACTGAACACCTGCCATTCATTGACGTGAATGGGTCGGATCCTGCTCCTCTGAACTCACAGGAACCTAACTGGGCCCAATGGGAGCTACAGCTGCTCAGCACCACTCCGGTTTTGGCTCAGTTTCCCTGCTCCAGTGTCACTGTTTGTTTTCTGGGAAAACCGTTTCCAGGAGTGAAGTGGTCTGTGAACGTATGGCCTTGCCAACAGATTGGCAAACACCCACCATGTTCACCAACCTCCCAGCATGGAGCTACATGAAGGTTTCTAACAATTCTGGTCTAGCACTACTTGAGACCTACTGCAGAACAGCAGGCAAACATGGTTGCAATTCCAAGGCCACGTAACCAACTCTTCGATTAGATGGCAGTTTTCTTTTCCTGGGGACTATCATGGAGTTGCTGCACTATTTCAAAGGGCCAGAGAATCCTTTGTATTGACCTAACTCGTCTGTAATTCAGCCATGAGCGTAGCAGGGAGCGAGAGGACAGGATAACTGAGTCTTGAAAGGGTTGCCTGAGATGGTGCATATGTTGCAGGAGGAGCATAGCCTGGTGTGTGCTGAGACTCTGCATGTGCTTACCTGCAGGGTGGGCAGCAGGGAGGCCAGGTGGGAGAGTTGCTCCTTAAATGCCTTTTCCTTCTCTTCATACTGGCTGGAAGTTACAAGGGAAAAAACCATTTCACTTCAGCTTAGAGACCAGACTGACCAGAGTTTAACTGGTAGGACTGGAGTAATTTATACATTATTATTAATTATTATTACTGCAAAAAAAATAAATCTGGTACATCGTACATTTCACACCTCACGTAGTGGCTGTGTAGGAAGGGAAGCTGATAGTATTTTACTGGGAAATACCCTTGACCTATCTGGAGCTCTTGCAGGTCACTAGGTAATTACACTTCACCAAGCTTGGGATCGTTATTCTATAACCTGGGCTGTGGATTAGAAGATGGGAAAACCCCTGCAGTAAGCTGGTGCTGGCTAATACACTGCACTTGCCATGTTGTTTAACAGTCAGACGCTGACTAAGAGGTGAGTGCCCTGAAACTTGGTGTTACTCATTTTTATTAATATTAAAATGTTTCACAGTCATAAGGACATTTGTGTTCCAGGCAAATATTTTTTCCAGGTTCAAACTGGGATCCAAGTTATTGCAGCTGGAGGTAAGAGCGACGTCCCAATCAACTAATGTGCACCTGCTTCCGGTGGAGCTAGTGCGTCGCTGTCCCCTCTGCTGGGGGAGCTGCCTTTGCTGAGGCTCAGCATGCAAAATGGAGCTGCTGAAATCTTTGTAACTTTGAAAAAATATTTACGAAAAAGAAGGGGGGGAAGGAGTAAAGCCTGTAATTGTCCACTGCCGAACTATAAACCAGGTGCAGGAGTCATCACGTCACTGTCTTGTGGAGCTGCCGCCCTGCTTGCAGGGCAGCTGATGTCCAACCCGCATCCAGGACAGTGGGCCTACATGGAAGGGCGGGGGCAGGGCTGCGCAGGTGGGATGAGAGGTGCTCACTAATATTAGCTCCCGCAACTTTTATGCTCGTAGTCAGTAATAAAAACGTTGACACTAGAGGGCGCCTTCCTCTGTCAGCTATAAGTAAGATCTGCCATTTAAAGCATCCAGTAAAATGGGGGGGGGGAGTGTGTGTGTGTGAGAGAGAGAGAGAAAAATCGGTAAGGCAGACACAAATGCTGACAGCTGGCTCTTTGTCAGCCTCTTCCTGAAAGCAGAGCAGCAACCCAGAGGATCCTCCACTCTACTCTTGCTGATCGGAATCAAGGCATCAGCTTTTCCAGGGACAGGCTCAAATGCTAGTCTTGGCAGGTGTGTGAAGGAGGAGTTGACTCTTTCTGTTAAATGCAAATGTATCTGTTGCTCTGCCCTCTGCATGTGGATTCTGTTACTGAATTGGGATATTGGGGTTTTTGCAGAAGCCTTTTATAGCTCCCCTTTAAAACATGGCCGTCTCTTTAGTCTGTTACGTATCCCATCCCAATAGTAATAAATTGTGAATGTGTTAACTCACTGAGTCTGGGTTGGCCTTACCTCTGAACGGCTTTCAGAAGCATCTTTTTCCTTTCTGCTAGTTTCTCCTGCAAAAGGTAGAAATGATCAAACATTCCCGTAGCTAGAGGCTGCAGTTTACAACTCCCGACACTGCGAGCAAAGAACCTCGCTGCTCTTGATTCCAAAGGCTTTGCTGAGCTTTCCCCCATGTCCATTCAGCCGTGAAATGAGGTAGATCAAAATGCTCTTCTGCATGGGGAAAATAGATGGGGAGAAGCTGATTCTCCTCTGACTTATCCCACTGTCAATCCACTGATGCCAATAGCTACACCAGTGTGAGCAAGAGGAGAATCCGGGCAGTTGGATCATTCCTTTGCTCTGATTTGGCGAAGATCTGAGGCCTTTGATTTCCCCTTATGTGGGTGCACTGTTACCGCAGTAACACCCCAAAGCAGTGTGCTGCAATTAACCCCATTGCTCTCTGGGCAGCCCCACAGAGAAGGTCCAGTCGGTGGCTGTGCCAAGCCCCTCCGTACCTGCATGCTACTGAAGAGTGAGTTGATGGACGTCTTCTCCTCATCTGCACTGTTGCGCACCTCCTCAATCATGGCTTTGAGGAGGACAATGGCCTCTCGCGTGGACGTCTGGAGCTCTTTCACAGCCTAGGAGGAAAGGCAGCAGGGGACAGCTGAAGAGTCAGTTGCAAGCAAGACTGACGCGTCCAGGACATGTGTCATGGGCCTGGGCATGGTCCACTCCCCAAAGCAATGACATTTTACTGAAGCACGATTTACTCCAATGCTGATGAAAGCAGGAGCAGCCATCCCAGTGCCATTCCCTCGCCACAGTAACTTTGATGATAAACATCAACAGACTAAAACTCGGAACACATCTCTCAAATGCTACCCACCATCACAGCCTGGTCGAGCTTCTCGCAGCCTTGCATGTACGCAGTCTCAATGTCAATGCAGTGGGCTCGGCTTTCTCTGAAAGAGGCAGAGACCTGGGAATTAGGATCAGCCATAACCTGCAAACCACCCTTCCTCATCATCTTTAGTCTGACCAGCCAGGGCTATTGATGTACGGCAGTTAACAATGACCCTCTGCTCCCCTGTGGACTGGGGCAGCAAGATACTTGAACCTGGGTCTCTTGCAGCAGCATGGGAACAATGAATGTGGCCCCCTCCCGCCCATCTATCAGCTGTCTGATAGACACACGCACAGTCCAGGGCGCTCAGATCATATGCTGATTACTGACTGTTGACCCCAAAGTAGAATGTCTCTCTGCTCCCCGTCTCCCCGCCAGGAACTCTTGTTACTCTGAATGTTGCTCTCGGCTCCCCTTCCCATCACTTTTTAGACCAGTTGATGCTGGTTTCAGCCTGCTTATGTAATGCTGCTGCTACTTCCTGGACTCTTTGCCCTCTCCCTCCCAACCCCCCACTTCAGAAAAACTTCCCCTAGGTCCTGCAAGCGCTGTTGTTTTAGACTAGCTCTAACTCCAACTAGTGGGGCTCGCTGCTCAAGTTGGGAAGTAGTTTCTCTCTCAGGCCACTCCTATTAAATGTGTCAGTGACACTTTCCATTCATGTTCTCCCTTTCCTGGGCATCCCAAGCTCCAGCTCCTTAAGGCCCTGTCCACTCTGGGGCTGGCACCATGATGGCAGCAGCCATGTCTGATAGTCACCTCTGCAGACAAGGTACTGTGTCCATTCTCTCTCAGGCTTCGCCATCGTGTCCTTGCTGCAGCACCTAAATGCTGCCATCATGCAGCTCCTCTCTCATGCAGTTTTTCTGCAGCCTCCATGGAACATAATGTCCAGGGCTTAGGGAGGAGTTTGAAAAGCTAGAACCACAAAGGGTGAGTGCAGGGTAAGGCTGCTCCGTCTGCAAAGGGCTGGGTGAGGGGCGGGGAGCCAGCAACTCTGCTACTTACACCTGCATGTCCCGGAAACAGTTAATGCAGAGCATGGATTTTTTCTCTGTTGAAAACATGATGTAAGGTTCCTCATGAAGAGCTGGGAACAAACAAATGCATCCCAGAGTTAAACAAGCTCCCTAAAGAGAGCACAGCTCGGTCCTTACGGAAGAGGATATGCAATAGGTGAGCTGGGTCCACCCCTCTGAGGCTGGAGGTGTCACTTCCTACCAGGTTTCTGAGGAGCTCTCACTTCTGACAGCTCTGCCATCTGACCGTAAATTATGCCTCCCAGCTCCAGTCTTGCTGCCTGCTCTGTTCAGACAACACCACTTTGACTTGTAGGCTTTCTGGCTGAGCAGCCCGTGGTTCTGGCTGGTGGGACCAACTGGAGAAGGCTACATGCAGGTTACTGCTCGAGGGCGTAGCCCTTTTAATAAACACTTTCCTTATATAAGAAGAGGAGGACTTGTGGCACCTTAGAGACTAACAAGATTTATTTGAGCATAAGCTTTCGTCAGCTCACTTCATCGGATGCATCTTTCCTTTGGCATCTTTGTTTTCATAATGGTTTGAAGGAACCTGCAGTCTGTAGCCTCTCCTGTCCTGAAGGTGGAGAAGATACTGACTGTACTTGTCCAACTTGCGTGTGCATGGCAGAACAATGCATCCGATGAAGTGAGCTGTAGCTCACGAAAGCTCATGCTCAAATAAATTTGTTAGTCTCTAAGGTGCCACAATTCCTCCTGTTCTTTTTGCGGATACAGACTAACACAGCTGCTACTCTGAAACTTTCCTTCTATGCACACCTTGCAGGTAGCTGTTCCTGGGGACGCTGGCTGGCGTCTGTGTTTACACCTGAATCCTTTGTACAGAAGGTGCAATCTGCACAGTATGTGCTATTTGTTAGCCAGGCACAGTGTTGCTTCACGAAGAAGCTGGTGAGTAACTGCCTTCATTTGCTAACTGCACCTTCACCATGCAAACTGATGGGGAAAATAATGAGCAGATCTGGACTGCACACCGTTCCTGGGGAGACAGCCAGTTACTGGGCTTTGCACCCCGCACGGGGCAGGAATGGAGTACACAGCTTCTGGTCTGTGGTTGCGGCTCAGAGAGGAGAGACCCTGGATTCAGCTGGGAAAGTGATCCTGATAGGCCAGTGTTAATCCTCCTGCGCTCCCTGTGGAAACCCTGGCCTGTGTGTAATTGCCCAGGTGGAGCAGGGATGTACTCACAGCATTTCTTGTGGATGTCTTTAGTGCGTTTAGTCAAGGAGACAATCTCGTGGCGAGAGAACATCTTGGCTTTGTGGGTCTCTTCACGGCACTTGCTGCAGAGGGGCTGGTTACAAGTGTTGCAGAAATACATGGTGTCCATTTCCTGATGGGGAAGCGCAGAACAAACCCCAAAGAGGGTTGAACACCTGAGCTCTCATCAGTGCAATTAGAAATAGCTTTTCTCAGCTGAGGGGGCATCTGTCTCTGAGCCAGAAACTGTACCGTGGCCAAGTGCAGGGTCCAGGACGAACAGGACAGGTGTCGGCTTTGTGGTTAGCACTTGAGGAGTGTCACTGCCCTGGTCAGGCTTCCCCTGTTGGACCCTCACCAGGGTCCTACCATGCTGGACTCATGTGCTAAGCCTCAATTGGTCTGGGTAGGATCCAACACTGTCTGGCTTTGGCCTCTCCGGCCCACTTCCTGGGCATAGGCCCTGTCTGTTACCCCTTTACAGAAGTGGGACTTCATGGGTCAGCTGCCCCTGGCCGCTCGGACCAGCGCTGGCTCCCCTTTCCCCAGCAGCATAAGCACACCCCTTCTCAGAGCTGCACCTTGTGGGCAATGTGGTTGACTGTTTACCTCTCGAGGGACATGTGACAGAGAAGCACATACCACACAGGCTTTGCAAAGGTTTCTAACACAATTACTCTTCACTGTAGACAGCACAAGAGTTGTACAGAATCTAGGTAAAACCCATAAAACAGCTACATGCCCTTCTCTGCCTCAGCTTCCTCCCCACTCATGAGCATTCTTTGGGGTTTGGTCGAAGTCCTGGAATCTGTCCAGGAACCCCCACCTGCACATGGCTTCTCTGAATTATCACATCTTTCTCCCTCTCCTGCAGCCAGCTTTGTTCTGCTGTCTTCCCCTGCCTCCCCCCCTGCCCCCAAATGGCTTGTGAGACCCTGCCTTTTATAACTTCCACTCCTCTTTGTCAGGTGACCCCCGCCCCATCAGCCTTGTCCAGTGATCAAAGTTCCCCACCCAGTGATCCGTTGGCTTAGTTACCTGATCACCTGGGCAGATTGGTTCTTCTGAGGGATAGCCAACATTTGTCCTACAATGCTTCCATTTGACTAGAGGATCATCAAGGTTTGATGACCCTCCTTGATTAGCCCTGTATCACTGCCTTGGAATTTCAGTCTAAAAGGGAGGTAAAAGGACAGCAGAGAGCCCAGACCAGCCTTGCAATAACAATGGCGTGTGTAGTTTGAAGTAGATACACCCAAAGTTGTAACTAGACGGATTCCTCAAACTGTCGCATCAAGGTATTTGCATCTCTCGCAGCAGGAGAGGCAGCATCCGGGGGGGGGGGGGGGAAGAGATGAACAGAAGCAAAGAAAAGGTAAAATGGGAGAGTCTGTGACCCACGCTCTGAAATCCAATGGCTGCTAACCCTCTGTTAGCACAGGGACAGCAGGTAAGTGCAAGCACGTGGCAGAGCTCTGCCACTCCTGAGGCCAACTGAGATAAACTAGCCTAGGCCTCAGTCTGGCCATCTGGAGTCCAGGAACGGGAGGTCGGAGTAAACTGGAGGGAACTCACCTGGTGGGTTCCTTTCCAACCCTCACAGGTCCCTGTGCTGGGGGAAGAGCGTAACCTCCCCCAGGCAGCTGGCCTGCTGCCAGGTCCTGCAGCAGAGTCAGCACCACGGGTCTGACACTGCAGCACACGCTCAGGGAAAGAAACCAGAGAGCCCAAATCCAGCCTTGAGACCTCAGTGCAGCAGCAAGAGGGCAGGAGCGAACAAGTGGGGAGGGACACACCCCCAGGGCTGCAGAGAGGCTGGGAAAGAGACAGGCCGTAGGGCTGACCTGGCTTTTTCCTACTGCACCAGCGTTGCTGGTGGGATAGCTTCTTATCCTTGGAGTAACCTTGGGAACCGGTGTCTCCTTGGAGCTCTTTGCTATCTCAGCCACACTTTCCGTTATCTGACTTTCACTTGCCTTGGTCTCTAAGGGGAGGATTGAGATGACAAAGCTGCCACGGGCAGGGAAATGTATTTCCATTCATTCCAGAATAACTAAGTACCTGCCACTTGTGAGTTCTGGTGCTATTTATCCCTTATTAAGTGTGTTTCTGAGATGCCCATTGCTGCAGTACCTACATGCGCTTTGTGTCGCTTGTTACAAGCAGAAACGTCTCAAGTATAGGGAGCAAATACCACATGGCACGCTGGCTGCAGCCCAACTTTAAAGGCCCACAACATGGGAAACCTCACCGGACGGCTAGGGCGCCGCAGCTGGGAGCGAGTCAAAACCCGGGTCTGAGAGGTGGTGAGTGTTTTTAGTACAGCCATGTTTCTCTGACCTGGCAAAACACGTCGATCCGTGACTCGTGCTTTTTGGTTCCGCGCAGACAGAAAGTAACAAGGGAAGGATGGAGGGAACAGAACAGAACCTCTCTGCTGCTTTCGCCCTTTAGCTTAACTGAGCACATGCTTAGACAGATAACCCCTAAGCGTAGCGCTGTCTTACGAGAAATTGCAGGGCAGCATGTGTGTTTTTTTCTCTCTCTGCCTAATCCTTTTGGACATATATTTTTGTCTGGCTAGTGCAGGGGACTGGGAGAAGAAAAGGCCTTTCCGTTCCAGCTCCCGGCTATGATCTGATCTAGGCCAGGAATGCCAGCTGCTGGGTATGAAGGCAGAAGGTAGTCTCTGTACAGTTCTGAGCAGATAGGTGTCCACATCGCACAAAATCCCACTGCCACGATTGGCACTAATGGGCCTCCTCGTTGGCAGTCTCAGCAGAGAGGCCAAGGACTGAATGGTCGATTGGAACTGCACAGTCCTCTCATCCACACCAGGGCTAAGGAGATTGGCAGGATGACACAGAACCCTTTACATAAGAACGGCCAGACTGGGTCAGACCAATGGTCCATCTAGACCAGTGTCTTGTCTTCTGACAGTGGCCAATGCCAGATGCTTCTGAGAGAATGGAGCAATTATCATTTGCTGATATGAGATGTCCTGTAGTCCGGTCCTTGCTTCTGGCAGTTAAAGACTTAGGACACCCAGAGCATGGGGTTGCATTCCTGACCACCTTGGTTAATAGCCATTGATGGATGTATCCTCCATGAACTGATGTAGTTCTTTTTTTGGACACAGTTGTAGTTTTGGCCTTCACAACATCCCCAGTAACAAGTTCCACAGGCTAACTGGGCATTGCGTGAAGAAATACTTCTTTGTGTTTGTTTTAATCCTGCCACCTATTAATTTAATCAGGTGACCACTGGTTCTTGTGTTATGTGAAGGGGTAACTAAGACTTCCTTGTTCTCTTTCTCCACACCCATCATGATTTAATAGCCCTCTGTCATATCGTCCCTTAGTCATCGTACTACCAAGATGAGAAGTCCTAGTCTTTTTAATCCCTCCTCATATGGAAGATGTTTCATACCCCTCATCATTTTTGTTGCCCTTCTCGGTAACTTTTCCAATTCTAATATATCACTTTTTGAGATGAGGCAACCAGCATGCATGTAGTATTCAAGGTGTGGGCATACCCTAGATTTATATGGTGGCATTATGGTATTTTCTGTCTTATCTATCCCTTCCCTAATGGTTCGTAACATTCTGTTCGATTTTTTTGACTGCTGCTGCACATTGAGCAGATGTTTTCAGAGAACTCCCCACAATGACTCCAAGATCTCTTCCTTGAGTGCTAACAGCTAATTTAGACCCCATCATTTTGCATATAGAGTTGGGATTATGTTTTCCATTGTGTATTACTTTGCATTTATCAACATTGAATTTTATCTGCCACTTTGTAGCCCAGTAACTCTGTTTTGTGAGATCCCTTTGCAACTTTTCACAGTTAGCTTTGGACTTAACTTTCTTGAGTAATTTTGAATTGTCTGCAAATTTTGCCACATCACCGTTTATCCTTTTTCCAGATCATTTACGAATATGTCAAACAACACTGGTCCCAGTACAGACCCCTGGGGGACACCACTATTTACCGCTCTTCAGTCTGAAAACTGACTATTTATTCCTACCTCTTGTTTCCCATCTTTTAACCAGTTACTAATCCATATGCCATGCTGTACTTACTCCTAGGCTGGTTGCGGCTTGGCTTTAGAATGTGATGCCAACACTGTTCAAGACCCACACACAGTCTACTCGGGAAGATGATAAAAGGACCCTCCAAGCAACAAGGATGTGGCTGGAAAAACTCAGCGGTTCTGAATAACAGACCATTCGCATAGGCACCTAAATATGTATGTGGGGCCTAAATTTGGAAGTGTTGGCCATAGCCTGGAAGGACTTTGGGGAGGGGCTGTGTACTCCTTTGCCTTCTGCAATGTGTGAGGCAGAGCAATGGAGCTGGAGACATAACCAGCTACTGTGTCTTACCTGTTTCTTGCACTCCTGGTCACAGTTTGCACACTGAACTTCCTCCTCGCAGTCTGCAGAGCTATCCACCAGGAACTTCAGAAGCCTGTCGACAGGAGGGAGCCCATTGTTTCCTTTCACTATGGACTGATGACTGAGGAGGACAAAACAGACAGGGTAGGCCCATGAGCCCTGACAATGGCAAGAAAATATTTCTCTACGTTCAAACAACTTAATGTTAAAGGAAAATAACTCTCCTGGGACTGGAGTGAAAAGATACCATGTGATCCTTAATGACCCCAGATATAAGGCAAACTGCAGGGCAGTCACACAGGATCAGACTTTTTTTCCTTTGTGCATCTGGAATTTCTGGACATAAATTGCACTGTTTTCCATAACACAGTTCAGATCTTTGTGTTTTCATTAGAGCTGAATTCTGTCTTGCGACATACTCCATGAGCATTTCCTTTTTGCTGCAAATGTTTTCATTAAGGTACAGCATTTAACAATCTTAATTCTCTGCCATGTTTACAGCCCTGGCTCTTCCCAAAGAGCATGCTGAACTCTTAAGGTTTGTCAAAACCTCTACATGCCACGTTAGCAGCATGCCACACATTTCTGCTTGGCTTCTAGGAGTTTACAGCATGGGACATGCTGAGAATGGCCATTTAACGTTAGCATTTGCAAATGAACAGCCTGAGTTCCAGGGTCTTTCTAATCAAAACTTTGTGTGATTCATTCCACAGGATGCTGCAAGGGTCATTTCAGTCTTGGAATAGCCATGCTTGATGAATTCCAGGGTGTGAGATCCTAGTGTGTTGCCCCTTCGATACTTTCCTGTTTACGCTGAATCTTTAAATTCAGTTTGCCTGCATGTGGCTCTACCCATTGGCTGTGTCCAGAATATCGACTTCCGGTAAGGAATTGCTCCTGCCTGAAATGGTTCTTTCATTTTCACAAGTCTTGCAGCATTTGTTTCGCACTGGACATTGCTGCCCAGATTCCCTTAGCTACTGCGAGCATCTAATTGCGCAGAGAAATGAGCAGACTAACAGTGCTACATCTGAATAATCTCGCGGAGCAATAATAATCCAGAATGGGAATATTAACAACATCAAAATAAGCCATGCGGTGACTTCCTCAGAAAGGAGCTTTAACCCATGGGAAGCAGGTGACCATGGAAGCCCCTCCCCTAACAACCCTCCAAACAGCTTTCCCAAAATAACAGTAAACAGAATTCCGAGAGGACAGAAATTGTCCAAAGCCAAAATCCCTGCATGAAATCCCTCTCGGACACTGCCTGAGTCCCCTCACATATACACACACAGGCTTTGTTGAAACCCTTAAAAGCAAGAGTGCCGCATTAAAAGTAATCAAATAATGTTAGTGAAATACTTCCAATTTGGTGAACGCACAATTAGTCTGAGTGAAAGGTCAGAAAAGCTGTGCCAGAATTCAAGCACCGTCTGCAAGGGCCAGGGCTCACCTCCCCTGGCATTGACTACACTGACTTGCTTTAGCAAAATAGTTAAAAATGAAGGGTCATCAGTGAAGATACTATCAGTGCGGACCCTGAGAAATGTCACTCACAGTTAAGCTCAGACTGTACACAATTCCTGGCAAATTGCAGCTCCCCGTGAACGCTAGAGAAAGGAATCACCCTTACATATATTCATCCATTTCCTTTAAAAGCATCGTGGAAATCTTTACTGTAGCCACTTTGACACTTCCAGTAAAACCCAGGACCCAAACAGTATGACGACAGCGCAACCAGACACCAAGCCACGGCCACTTCTTGAGTGTGTGTCTCAAAACGCAGGTTTGCAGAGATGACAGGAACTTTGAAGTCTCATTCCCCTGGACAATGAGCGCATTGAGTCGGATTGAAATGATGATTCACCCACCAGTCACCTGTGCAGGATTGGGTTTCATCGCTCTGGGCTGCATCTCCCAGCAAACGAATCATGGGACTAAAGGTCTCACTGCAGCTGGCAGTGGTTCATCATTGCCCGGCTTCATCAAACATGGCCACGTTCGGGTGCACCAAGTTACCAATGGAAAAGACCTATTAGCCCAGGAATGTCTTGCAGGGGGCTTGTCTGTTGTCTTTGTCTATTAATATTCTGGCACTGCAAGGCTGTATTTGATGGAGAGAAATGTATTGTACTAATACCAGCCAGATAGCTTACCTCCCAGGCAATTGGTTTGTTCTCCTGCTGCAGGGCGGGGCTGCATACAGTGGCATCTTGCATTGCCCGCTGTGCTCTGCAGCCCTCCGAGTACTGGGCATAAAGCACTCAGAGATACTGAGTTTTAAACCAAATGCAGAATCCTGTGAAAACTGCAGCAGAAATGTGCATGTGTATTATGTTCCAGAGAGAGCACGAGAGAGAGGTAGCGATCTAGCCAACCAGATGTACTGGAATGCGTTACCTAGGGAGGTGGTGGAATCTCCTTCCTTAAAGGTTTTCAAGGTCAGGCTTGACAAAGCCCTGGCTGGGATGATTTAGTTGGGGATTGGCCCTGCTTTGAGCAGGGGGTTGGACTAGATGACCTCCTGAGGTCCCTTCCAACCCTGATATTCTATGATTTTATGCCCTTGGACTCTGTGTGAGTGGGGAGGGCTGGGCCGAGAAAGGGCTGGAAACACTGGGTAGGGAGAATTTAGAAAGGGTTTGTGTGTATGCTGTGGCATTTTAACGTCCACCTGAATTGATTCCCAGCCCTAGTAACTTCTTATTACAACAGATCAGGAGGGAATTCGGAGAGTAGTAAAGCAGAATTAAACACTGCATCGCTCAGTCCCCGTCTCTGTCAAATCCCTAGCACCAGGCAAGCTGTGTGAAGCTGAAAAGGGTTCTGGCCATGACTCCGGTGAGTTTAATTGGGGCAGCTCGGCCCCCAAGACGGGGCTCCTGCTGCGGTAATGCAGGTAAAGTTCTTGTTGCCAGGGCTCGGCTGCTGTGCTGCTTGACAGAGGTAGTTAATAAAACCTGCCTGTTGGGCTGTGGACCACAGGGGAGTCACTTCTCCAGTCCTGCTGTCTTGAGAGCCTGATGCTGACGGCCAGGCCAGTGTTCTCTCCAGAGGCCTGTGCTCTGCAGCCTGCTGGGAGATGGAGAGCGGGTTGGCTGTGAGCACCTGGCTAGGACGTAGCATGTGACAGGTGGGGCATGGGTTAAAGGGGTTTTACAGGCTGACAATTGTCTAGCAATTGCAGCTGTAAGCATGAGAATTTGGGTCTGTGTGGGAGTTTGAGGAAAAGGCAGGCCGCTGATGCACAAGAGGGTACCATTAAAAACAGTCCAACAAGATTCAGACTCTGCCTGAGTGAAGGGGACACACTGTATGGCAGCTTCATTGCATCTACAATTCTTCTTCCTTTTCATCTTCACTGGGCAACTTCTGTATAAAGACAAGACCTCTGCATTTCACCCCTGCTGCTCCACCATTCTACCTTGGGGCTAAAGCACTGAGTCCCTACTAAGCAGACCCATGCCACTGCTGGTCTAATTAAGCAGTTGTCATTGCTGTTCACTGCCATTAGGCAGAACTGGCTTCTTGGGAGACATCTGATGGCATCCCAATTAAGGTGCTCACGGCTGACTCTGCAAAAGCTGCTAAAAGCCTCCTTCCCCAATGAGACAGTAGCTTATGGATGCATATAATACCTACTATTCATGCTTGGGGAGAGATTGCATCTTATAATGAGGAGTAGGGAGAAGGGCTATTTAAAAATATCCCAGTGCAGAACACGCACAAGACTTTCTAGTGAGAGAAATGTTATAAACCAGAAAACAAGTCAGAATGTGATCCAATGCCAAATACCTGCTCTGCTCAGAGTCACAGTATCTGTTTGCTTTGCTGAAATATTAGATTGATGGTGATCAGGGAGGAAGTGATAGCTCATTGGGGCTCCATTCATGCTGCCAAGAGAGTGAGAAATTGCCCTGTTCCCCTCTGCAGTGCCTTGCCAGTGACTGTTACTGAGCCTGGCTGCAGAGCTGGGCCCAAGCGCCAGTCAGAGATGTGCAGAATACAGCAGAGCAGGTGAGTCCAGCCGTGTGGGGTATCAAAACCATGAAATCAAATCCTCCCAGAAGTGCAGCTCCTGGGGGATACCTGGGCAGCTGATTGTGGCTATGGAGCCTGGCGTCCCTGACCTACAGCTAGAGCTGAGGCTGTTGCGTGACTTCTGGATAACTTACCTGGGAGAGGGGTCCTGGTTGGAAAACCTGCCCTTCTCCCTCCAGGAGCAAAGGCATCAGCACGGCTCCTCGTCTATTCCCTCCTCTTCCATCTGTCAGTGGCAATGCTGCTGCTCTGGAGCTGGAACATCTGTGCTTTAGTGAACCCCACGCAGAGTTTGCCTGCATCTTCAGGCACCTCAATACTCTGGGAAATCTAGCCCTAGCTTCCTAAAGATAGGGGAGCTCCTGGTGAACTCGGGCATTCTGAAGGGGGCTAATATTAGCAACCCGAAAACACTGCCATGGACACCTTAAAAAATGCCCATCCTGCTAATGAAGGGTTCCAGACTGGCAGCTCTGCTGCCTAAAGGCCTCTCTGTATACCCAGCACAGCGTGGGGAGTGGGGCAGCTCTAGCTTCCTCGCCAGAGAGCCTCAGCCCTAGCATGCCCCCCCTTGTTTTGTTTTCTACATACATGGTTGTGTGTAATGCCTGTGGTCTCTTTGCACTGTCACATTTGCTCCCAGGACTAGAACTGACTTTCCCTAATCTAACAGTGTTCATATTTAGCCCATATCAGTGGGGAGTTTGCATGACAAACTGATTGGAAAGTGCTGTTTTCTGCAGAAAAGAATGAATGTTTACTCCAGCTGATCTGTTTTAATTAAATAATTTAAAAATATGTAATTCCTTGATCTTTTTTTATATAACCTCTGATTTCATGCTAATGATATCTGAACAGCCCCTTCAAAGTGCCTGAGATGCACCCAACAAACAACAGCCAGAGGTGAATACCTAAAAATAACATTTGTTTGGTCTCACTTGGCTCTGAGCAAGAGTTCCATTGAACTGCTTTAAGTCGCAACATCCATATGAGTTATTCCAGAAATATAGCCACACCGTGCCTGGTACTTTGATACTTTTCCTTTACTGTTGATGCTTTTGTTGGTTTTGGGGGGCAAGTTTTGGAGAGTTTACGGGTTGATGTTAAATCATGGATAATTTGCCATAAACGGCTCCAAGCTAAACCGTTGTCTGAACCAACTTCAGCACGATAACTGTGCCATCTCAGACAGCATGAACAACTTTTCGCAGATGCAACTGGAAGAGATGGAGGCTCTCTCTGCACACAGTTGTCTTTAGTAGATAACCACATGTCGGGGGGGGGGGGGGGAGAGAGAGCAAAATTCTAGGTCATGGAGACAGAACTGTCCTAGCCAGAACTGTTTCCAAAGATTTCCAGGAAGGGCCAACACCTCTTTAAGATACACAATTTTGTATAACAGTTAAAAAATCCCAACACAGTTTTTTGTGTGGTATTTTCTATTTTTAAATTTAAAAATAAATCCCTAAGCGTGCAACAAACCTATCTGGTGTCACCCAGCTCTCTTTCCCCCAGAGCTCAGACAGTAAGTGCCAGGAGTCATTTTTTGGCTAGGGGAATCCACCTACCTAGGGGCTCAGTCCTGCTAGGTGCTGAGCATTGACTCCAGTGGGGCTATTCAAAGCCTAGAGTTACTCACATGCTTAAGTGCTTTGCTGGATAGGGGCCAGAAAGCTCAGCCCCTGCCAGATCAGGCCTTAGGGCTGCAGTGATTCTGCTTCTCCCCAGGGTGATCACTTGTCCAGGATAGAGTGGGAGACACTCACTGTGCTTCTCCCATTGCTGGTCTGCCCTGGCAGGGGAGTGAGCTCTTCTGAATTCTTGTGGAGTTATAAGTAGAACTTGTGTGTTCTGCAGCTGTTCACACCTGAAACCATTGTGATTAGAATCTCGTATTTCATAGGCACAAAGGCAGCTTGACAACGAAGCACTCAAATGCGGCGCTGACAGGCCATGTATAAGAGCAGAGCTAGATACAGCTTCTCCAGCTTTCCTGGGGCTTTACCACTAGGCAGCCTGACCCCCACTGGGCATGCGTATTTTACAAGTCTGAGATCCAGGGGAAAAAAATCATAAGTGCCTAAGTGACTTGAAGCCTAAATCTCAGTGCAAGTTAACGGGGCTCAGGTTCCTAAATAACTAAGGTGCTTTGAAAATGTTACCCTCATCAGTGAGAGGAAGGCTGGCTCAGTACTTGGAACTCAAGATCCCTGGGATCAATTCCCTGCTCTGCCACAGACTCCCTTTGTGACCCTGGACAAGTCACTTAGACTCTCTGTGCTTCAGTTCCCATCTGTACAATGGGGTAATAGCCCTGCCCTGCCTCCCAGGTCTGCTTTTAGGATAACAACGTTAGAGATTGTCAGTTGCCCAGATACAATGGTGATAGGGCCTGCTCGGTACCTAGAGCTTTACTTTAATTAATTTTCACAGAAATGTGATTGTTTTTAACTGCTTGTAATTAAAAACAAGAGTTGTGAATAGACACAATTGTTTTTCAGGCTGTGGCCTAGCCACACAATTTGTATGCAGACAGGTATTGCTTGAAGTCTTTCCCATGCTGATTTAAACAAAAAACAAAACGCTCATGGGATTTATTTTAATATTTGTAATTTGTGTTCATCTAAAAAGAACAGGCATAAATGAGCAGCTCACTGGATGCTCATCAAATCTCCATTTCCCCTAAGGACAAACTATACAGAGAGATCTGTATACATTAAAGGTGAAATCTAATCAGGTACAATGTTAACCCCCTCCCATGCTTTGTGGATAGTTCTAACTTCACATTCCAGAACACAGCTCGGATTCAGTTCTGCCTCTACCAGCCCTCCATTAGACTCAAATGTCTTTGGCAACTATAGTCAGCCTGATACACATCCTATTCACTAGAATAAACGACAATCAACACCCCTACTATTCTCATTCCTTTTTTGGAATACAAAGTCCTGCACAGTGTTGTCAATTCATGCCTGTGAAGTGAAAGCAGATTCCCTGATCATTAGAGCGTACTACAGAAAAGCAGAGGTGTATTGTAGCATTCCACGTCCAATGGTAAATTTTCCACCATGTTTGCTATCATCAGCAATGTGTTCTTGAGAATCTGAAGCACTCAAGTTTCATGTAGATGAACTTGGTTTGTATAGAATGTAATACACCCCAAATTATAAGTGGATGTTATTGTTACTAATACGGTGATAGAAATGACCTTCTTCAAACAGGACTGTCCACATCAGAGCGGAAAGCACGAACACTCCACATTTACGGTATTGTTTAATAGCAAGGAGCAAACTGCATCATTCACAGCTAAGAGCTGATGAAAGTATCTGTATGTACAGTAATAGGAACCTATAGAAGAAGCCAGAGAGAAAGTACTTAAATATCAGGGGGTAGCCGTGTTAGTCTGTATCCACAAAAACAACAAGGAGTCCAGTGGCACTTAAAGACTAACAGATTTATGTGGGCATATGCTTTTGTGGGTAAGAGGCATTCTGAAGATGCATCTGAAGAAGTGTTTTTTTTACCCACAAAAGCTTATGTCCAAATAAATCTGTTAGTCTTTAAGTGCCACTGGACTCCTTGTTGTTTTACTACTTCAAATAATTCCTGGCTTCACTTACATTAATATGAGATTCTTGAAAGGAATAAAAATGAAAACAAATACAACATAACTGAAGATGTACAATATGCTCCAGAAAAAAACAGGACATAATCTGTAGCATATCGTAATATCCATACAACCACAATGCTCAGAAACACACAGTTCAGCACATTAATATTGTATTAAAATGTAAAACGCAATTTCTTTTTGTTCCAACTGCAAAAGACATTTTGGTTCAGGGCAGGATTTGGCCCAAAATGTCTTGTAATTGGAGGGGGAAGAAAGGGATGTTATATTTGGTTACCCCCATCTAATCTCCTGAAGGGGCGGGGCAGGGCTGGACTGGGTGAATGAGGGCTGAATTTGGCCTTTAGTGAACACACTAAGAATTCTTGTTCCAAAGTCAGTTGGGCCTAGAGCCCAGCACAGAGTGCTTACTTACCAGTAGTGGTGCTGAGCCTCACTGCAGCTTACGGTGAAAACTGAAGAGCCTAAAGGGGCAAGTGCCAAACACAAAGACTGCAAATGCTGGTCCTGTGCTTGAGGAAGTCTCTTGAGGAAGAGTAGAGATGCTCCTGTGTTACACCCTGCATCTGTTATGAACTAATGACCTTAATCCAAGGCCCACTGAAGTCCATGGAAGGCTCCACTTGGCCTCCATTGTCTTTGGATCAGACTCTAACAGCCTATCATCATAGAGGCAGTCTAGGTACAACTTAGCACCAAAATAACGACATCGGTTTAATTCTTGTTATATCAGTGCAAGCTTGTGTGTGGCCACTCTTCTTGTGGAGTATGAGTGTCTCTATTCAGCATAGGTTGTCAGTAAAGAATCAGTTTAAATTAAATCTAAATAAGACACTTTCATTCCACAACCAGTGTCTACACGCAGGCTGGCACTGACATAACAGAAGGTGTGAATGAAAACCAGTTAGGCTATTTCAGTGCTGGTTCATGTGCAGCCCAGCCCACATCCTTATCCAAGCTATCACAAAAGGCATTAGGTTGAGGTCTGGCCCAACTCTCAGTGACGTTAACGGAATGACTCCCATTCACCCTTGGAGAGTCATGTTCAAGGGGAACTGCCACACATTCAAATATATCAAGCTTAGAACCCTCTTCATGTCAGATATGTTCCCTGCTCCCGTGCCAGGTTTTGAGCACAAAACCAATGTACATAAGCTAATTTCAATAACATATCTCAACAGAGCACCGAGCAGGCCTTCAGCCCAAGGAGCATAAGAGAAGAAATGCGACTGTTTCTCCTTGGGCCTCAATTTCAGACTTAGCTGCCTAATGCTGCACATGGCTAGCTGCATTGGGCATTTGCTGATGGGCAGAGCTGGACCCTCTAACTCAGACATCCACGTGTGAAATGCGTGTTTGGTATGTTTGTCAGCATGCTCGACACCTGTGTGTCTGTGGGGCTATTGCAGAGCATGGGCACCTGGCCAGGCCTGGGATAGCTTTCACTGGTAAGTCACCATCTTTCTGTGTTATGGGTGGGCACTGCTTTGAAGTTCTTACCCACAGAGAGGGCAGGTGAGGCGGCTGTCTATTGCCCGGCCTCGCAGGCAGCTGGCACAGAAGTTGTGGTAACAGTCCAGGAGGCAGGGATGCTCATACTGCTCATGGCACAGGAAACACACCAGGGGGTGGCAGTTGGCATTATCCAGGTTGCAGAGGTTTTCCAAAGGCGAGAAAATCCCACCGGACATCTGGAGGAAAACGACACAAGTAGGCAGAGGGATTCAACATCTAATTCAGGATATGGTGCATGTGGTGCAGTTAAAAAGCAGCTATTCTGGTGAGTCACAATAGAGGAGCCTGACCTTGGAGGGTGCCACATGCTAGACAGATCAAGACTCTGCTGGTCATTGATAGCATATGAGGGACAGGGCAGCTACATGATCTGATGGCCACCGATTGCATGTAAAGGGTAGGACAGCTGCAGGAAGAAGTGTCAGGGACGGCGTGGTGGTCACAGATGTAATTTGGCCACAGCTCTGTTTTTGCTGGTGTAAAGGACAGTTCTGGTCACTTGATCCAACTTGCTCCTCTCTCATTGGGCCTAGGACTGGGGTGACCTGATCACATGCATTTGGGCAGGGCTGCGCCGCCTGACTGCAAGCAACTGATTAATTCGCCATGAAGTTAGAACTGGCAAGACTGCCAGATAGCGCCCCTGCCCCCAAGATCTCTCAAATGCACCCTGCTGGCTGGTGCAGCAGTTCCGGGGGGAGCTATGTCCAGCCTTCTGCAGGTGAAAGGATGTGCTGGCCCAGCTTAGGGCCTCTGAGAAAAGAAAAAAGAGGGGGAGACTGGTTCCTCCCAGGAAACAATACCGCCTGAGTAAAATCTCTAATATTCCCTACCATCAATTCCAATGTATCTTCTCTGCTTCTCATACCCCTTCCCCGCCCATCTCCCTACCTTTTCTCCCATATGTAGCTCTGCATTTTCTTTCACACTGCTTTTGTGCCTGAAACAGCCTTCCACTTTCCATGCACCAAGTACTCTCCCTCTCTGTCCCCAGATTCCTCATTCCAGTCCTCACTTCCCAAAACCGCCCTGCTATCTCCTTCTGCCTTCTCACGTTCTAGCTGTTGTCCTGTGAATCACGTCTCTCTGAGAGCCCACTGTAAGCTCTCGGAGGCAGAGACCCGGTCCTTCTACTGTGTATATTTGTAAAGTCTAGTGCTCTCGCTCTTTATTGTTTAAAGAGTCCTGCACTATTATTGCAGGGCACAGTTGCGATAGCAGTGAGCTGCTGCTGAATGCCACCACTTCCTTGAGCATTTAGGAGTTAAACTACATTGTGACCAGAAATAGCGCACAGAGTCAAAGAATAGGTGGCACATTTGACTCATAGGACTGACTTCATGCCAAGCTGTCCGCAGCGCAATGAGCACACAGCGTGCTTTGTAAGAACAAATGGAAATTATTAACATTGTGTCTCAATAACAATATTAAAGTTCAGAGTCAGAAACCACAGAAAGTCTGAAAATCATTTCTGAATTGTCCCCATTTCAGGGGTTCCAGAAGGTGTAACAGGAGTCAGGGGGAATTTTTAGATTTTTTTTTTTTAATATAAGAGTTGTGTTGGAAGGGAAACCTGCACATTTACAAGATCTAGTAAAGAGCAGTAATAAATAAACTAACAGTCTGGGCTTTGCATATTACACAACAAACAGCCAGAGAGTAAAAATGACACAGCCTATGTTGTTTGGGTGCTGACAAAACAAACTGTGTATAAAGTGGGGGGATGGAAGGTTTCTAAACATGCCTGTTTTCTTATACCACTCTAATCTGAGTGATATTTTATTAAAAAAACACTGTACTGTCCAGAACAGAGCAAAGTGGTGCGGGTATAAGAGGAAAAATGCAACTTTTCAAACAATCAGCTGTGGTTTAAATTCTTTACTCCGTACAGCGTGTGACCACATTCAAGAAGAGCACTGTTTGCGGTTAATTCATTTTGCTATTATGCTATGCTAATGAAAACACTTCAGTAAAAATATGAGAAACAAGACGGCATTCTCTTTAACCTGTTGATCAAATCCAGCTATTTTCAGTTTGTCAATTTCATGGTGATGCCATTCAAATACATTCTTTTGAAATAGACCAGCAATTATCTATTAAGTCCTTATATGAGCAAGCCTCAGCCAGAAAAGTACAAGTTCTGAAAGTTATTATAGAGCTCAGAAATCAAAACAGTGTTTCAGATGTGGATACATGTATGTGTGTTAACAAGGTGGGCTGTGCCTCTCTGGGGTCTGCCAGTACCTCTAGTTTCAATAAGTGAAGTGACTTTGTAAGCAAATGCTACCTTTGCATTTTAAGGAAATGCAAACGGTATATCTTTTTGTTATGGTCACTTTATTGTAGTTAGACACAGCGGCAATATCAAAGTTTCTTACCTTTTCTTCCAAAGTTTCCAACGTTGTATCCGCTTTGTCCTGTTAGTAGATAAAATTTCAGTCCCCTTGCTCTGCCTGTCTCCTGCTTTTCATGCGTTTGAAACTGGAATGACAGAAATGCCGAGGCTTTCAGCACAGCCAGAATATTATGAGTGACGTGAACACAGTAGCCAGGGCAACATTGCCAATAAGGAAGAGCTGCTGGGTTCAGAATACATTGTTTCTGCAGGCATAACAGAGAGCACAATGAAATGTTGTTCTAAAAAACTGAAGTCTCTCATTTGCTGACGTGCTCTACGCAGCCTGGTGTGAAGGGGACTGTCTGATATGCTCACGTTCTCCCTCAGGGGCTAAAATGCATAACAGAGGGGTTAGGATTTGCTAAGCCTAAGTAAAAGGGGAAAAAATCAATGCATTTAATTCACTGTCGACTCTTCCAGAGGGGAAAGGAGGAATCTCCTACCTGTGGCAGGCAGTTTTCTCCAGACTGAGTTATCTCTATGTTGTATGCAATTCCTAGGGAAAGGCACCTCTAAAAGTTGCCTAGGGTGTAAATTTAAACCCAAACAGCCATGTGAATGCATGATTAATGTTTCCTTTATATCCCTGTCCTGTCCCTCTTGCCCCTTCCATCTCATCAACAAGCTTCAAGGTTCACCCAAGGTCAGATCTAGTGGACAATCCATGTGATGGAAAAAGACCAGCCTCTCCTTGCAAGGGATCAGCCCTCCCCATTTTTCTCAGTCTTTTGGGATTATGAAGCCCAGTGGCATATTGAAAGTGACAGAGCAGCATAAGTCAGCAGGTCATTTTCTAGTCACACACAGGAACACACTTCATGCTTGAGGGGTTTGCACAGACATTGTCCCAGCGACGGCTCTACAATAAGTGAGGTGAGGTCAGGATCCCATTCACATGTTAACGCTTTGCAGAAGATCCCATTGCTCAATTGTCTATCAGTCTGAGCTTCCTGCAGGCCCCCTGAGCTGTGTGTGCTCAACAGGGTTTCAGAGGCAGTGTAAAACTCAGGGCCCTAATGCCCTCAGTGCTGCAGTGAATTGCATTAGAATTCCTCAGAAGCAAGTAAGTTTCCATCCAAAAGCCATACCTAAAACACAGGGCCGCCTCTGATACCCCTGTTCCCCAGGTTTACTCAGCTGATCTCAAATTCCTCCAAACATTCAACTGAATCAGTTTTTCTTCACTTTCTCTCCTGAGACCTGTCCAGTTACTGGTGCACAATGGCTATGAGGATTCAACCCCAGAGTCAGCTGCATCCCAGGGGCGAGGGAAACTATCCTTATTCATATACCACGTCAGCAGAGTGCTGACGGATGCTTGTGAGCTCTGGTGCTATGGAGACGTAAGGAGTCATTGCCACCATTAATGAGAATAGTAACAAATATGCAATACTCATTTGGAAGCTGAGAGGAGTCTTCAAATTAAAAACTCTTCTGTTTCAATTAGCAAGTGGAGAATGGCTGGTTCAGGTAATTAGGAATGAAAGCTAGACCAATGGTGATGCATTCACATCCAGTCCAAGCTGATATTGATCAAATAGCTGATAGCCAGTTGGTAGCTGGTGAGTTTCAGCCAATTTCCTGGGGGAAAACTGCCCACCTCACCTACTGCACTGTAATTGTCTCTTGTCAACAGTCTGATCGGAGGCCCAGCGTCTCCTGGTGCCTCTCCAACTAAGGCTTGGGCGGTAAGATGCATTGGCAAGAGGCAGCTTGGCGGAAGCTTGCACTGCTGCTGTCTGTGCTCTGTAGCTAGCTTGGCAAATTCAGTCTTCCGAGCTGTCAGGCTGGTGCTTTGTGTGGGTTTAAAATAGGGCAAGTGTGAGGAGAATTTAACCAGCCCCACATCCCCACCTTGAAGCAGATGTGCCAAGGGGTAACTCTTCTCGTCTGCCCACTAGTGCTTCCTATTGTGGAACACTTGTTGCTGGCAATGCCACCTTTCATAACTGCTTGCTCTCTCCTTCTGTAGGTTCCTGTTGGAGCAGCACCACCTCGTGGCTTTTGTGAAATGGTGCACAGGATCTGGATGCCACGGTGTGTTCATTTACAACCATGCTTTTGTGATGTTTGCCTTTCTAATTCCATGTTGTTTATTACCTCAGAGATCACTCCATGCCCCCACCTTTTTAAAGACCACACCTTTAGAGTAGGGATTTTCCCACGGCAGAATCAGAGCAGTGGAGTTTCTGTGTTTTGAAGAGATAAAACGGAGGTCAGGTTCAGATCAATCCAGAGCTTTTCTTCAGAGTGTTGTTATACATTTTGTATTGTGGTAGTCCTGAGAGTCCCAGCAAAGGATCCATAAGAACATAATGGCCAGACTGGGTCAGACCAAAGGTCCATCTAGCCCAGTATCCTGCCTTCCAACAGTGGCCAATGCCAGGTGCCCCAGAGGGAATGAACAGAACAGGGACTCATCAAGTGATCCATCCCCTGTCAGCCACTCCCAGCTTCTGGCAAACAGTGGCTAGGGACCCCATTGCTCTCCATCCTGGCTAACAGCCATTGGTGGACCCATCCTCCATGAACTTATCTAGTTCTTTTTTTGAACCCTGTTATAGTCTTGGCCTTCACAACATCCTCTGGCAAAAAGTTCCACAGGTTGACTGTGCGTTGTGTGAAAAAATACATCCTGTTGTTTTAAACCTGCTGCCTATTAATTTCATTTGGTGACCCCTAGTTCTTGGGTTATGAAAAGGAGTAAATAACACTTCCTTATTTACTTTCTCCAGGATCAGGGCCTTGTTGAGCTATGCACTCCACACACATATGAATTGGGGGTAGAGGTTTTGGCTCCAGTGCCCAGGCAAAATTCCTGTCTTAGACCACTGTGCAGTGTCACTGTGAGCTGTTAAACAGTTGCCACGTTCCACCCCAGAGCAGGCTGCATTTCATCACAGGAGGAAGTGATTTGTATGTGCACGCTATGATGAGATCTGAAATCACGGGGAAGAAAGGTGGCTTTTATTATTATTATTATTAACCAAAGCTGCTGTGAAGTGAGTCCCACATGAGAGTTCTGCCTTGGGGCCCGCAGGGCAGAGGGGACAGGAAGCTGTACGCACTACAGCTTCTCTGGTTTGATTCCCCTCTCTACTGTGCGCCCCTCACTACTGCCTGTCCCTGGGAACGGTGCCACCACCTCCGCTCCCCACCAAGGGAAAGCTCGGCAGTGACACAGATCTCAGTGCCCCCAGGGTCAAAGCCTCCCCTCCTCTCATTCCTGCTCCTTCCCCATGGCATGGACACCCCCCCAATCGCCTCTGCCCAGCCAGGCCCCTGCTCCCTTCCCAGATCCCCCCCTCAGCCAGGCCCCTGCTTCCTTCCTCGATGCCCCCCACCCCCAGCCAGGCCCCTGCTCCCTTCCCAGATCCCCCCCCTCAGCCAGGCCCCTGCTCCCTTCCCAGATACCCCCCTCAGCCAGGACCCTGCTCCCTTCCCAGATACCCCCCTCAGCCAGGACCCTGCTTCCTTCCTCGATGCCCCCCACCCCCAGCCAGGCCCCTGCTCCCTTCCCAGATCCCCCCCAGCCAGGCCCCTGCTCCCCCCCCCCCCCCCCGCCCCCCCCCCCAGCCAGGCCCCTGCTCCCTTCCCAGATCCCCCCCAGCCAGGCCCCTGCTCCCTTCCCAGACCCCCCCCCCCCCCCCCCCCCCCCCCCCCCCCCCCCTCCCAGATCCCCCCCAGCCAGGCCCCTGCTCCCTTCCCAGATCCCCCCCCCAGCCAGGCCCCTGCTCCCTTCCCAGATCCACCCCCCCAGCCAGGACCCTGCTCCCTTCCCAGCCCAGCCACCCCCCCCCCCCCCCCCCCCCCAGCCAGGCCCCTGCTCCCTTCCCAGATCCCCCCCCCCCCCCCAGCCAGGCCCCTGCCCCTGCCCTTCCCAGATCCCCCCCCCAGCCAGGCCCCTGCTCCCTTCCCAGATCCCGCCCCCCAGCCAGGCCCCTGCTTCCTTCCTCGATGCCCCCCCCCCCGCCAAGCCCCTGCTCCCTTCCCAGACCCCCCCCGGCCCTTGCTCCCCCCCATCCATCCCCCCCGCCAGGCCCCGCCCCCTGCCCAGATCCCCCACCGCCTGAGAGGCAGGGGACGGGTCCGGATCCCAGTCCCTGCACAGGTAGCGCTAATCGATCCCAGAGATGCAGATGGCTAAGGGGTGGCGGCCGGGGGAAATCTATTCGCTCAGTGCTTGGCTGGCATGGCCTGCGCTCTGCGTGCTCCGGGGGTGGGGTGGGCGGGTGGCACATGCGCGTTTGCGCGAGACGCACGCGGGGGTGTAGTCGGCACATGCGCCAGGTGCACACGGGGGATTTGGCGCATGCGCGTCGCGCCGCCCTCCCTTTCTGCTCCTCTCGTTGCAGCCGCCATGGCGCCTGTGGTGAGTGTCCAGCCACGCCGGGCCCGGGCCGGCCTCCCCGCGGGCTCCGAGCCCCGGCCCGACCCCCGTCGGGCTCCGGCCCTGGCCGCTCGGCTCCCCTGGCGCGGGGGCGGCCGGGGGGCCGGCCGGGCGCGCGCTGCGGGGCGGGTGCCGGGGGAGGCCGCGAGCCCTCCTGCTCCCGCCGTCGCTTCCTGAGGGCCCGGGGGGCCTCGCCCGCCGCGCCGGGGGCCTCTTTCCCGCTGCGGCCTGGCCGGCCTTGGAGCCCCCCCGCTTCCCGGCGCCTCCTGTGGCGCCGCCCCCTCCCCCGGGGTCTGGGCGCTGCAGGCCAGGAGCTCCCCGGCGGCCCCCGCCTCGCGGCCGCACGGAGGCGCCGGTCTGGCTCCCGAGGCTGGGGGGCTTGGGGTAGCCGTCAGAGCCGGGCGCCGCGCGGTCCTGTCACCCTCCCCTGGCTGCGTGGCCCTGAGAAATCTGGTCGGGGACACGGCGCGGCCTGTCCGGGGGTGCCGATGTCTCCAGGGCCTGGCAGCGCGGCGAACGAGCTCTGCCCTTCTGTCGCACTCCCTGCCGTTAAGACAGGCCCCTGCAGCTCGTGCCCCAGCCTAAGGTTCATCTTAGCATGCGTAACCTGTGTCGCTTCATTTCTTTCTGGCTTCACAGAAGAAGCCTGCGACGAAAGGTGGCAAAAAAAAGAAGCAGGTCCTAAAATTTACTCTGGACTGCACCCATCCCGTGGAAGATGGAATCATGGACGCAGCCAACTTCGTAAGTTTTAAATGCTCTACCATCAGTGTGTCTTTAACTGTAATGGCGTTTGCCGCTGGGGGGTCCAGCAAAGGAATCATTTGGTAGCTAAATGAAATGATTATGAAAATATATTTATTATCGCAAAAATCCACTGACTTGTTCTTCCCTTCCATGCATCACTCTCTAACATTCTCTCATATCCCCAAAGGTGTACATTAGTGTTGTTGGCCTGCTTGGTCATAGCCGCTGCTAACTATAAACCTCTATTTCCTGAGCCTGTTTCCCATCCTGTTGGGAACTTTCCTTCTCTCTTTCCAGTTGTCTCCTCCCCCTTAAGCTGCAGTTAGTGGCAACAGTATCACCACCTTTAAAGCCTTACCTATGCTAGGTTTGGCAAAAAGTTGCTCGCAATGCAGTGCTGTGGTGGGAAACCTTGTGTTGCGAAGGCTCCTGTACAGATCTGCTTTGAGCAAGGTTTCGTTGTATGGCATTCAAAGGCAGGTGGCTATAGAAGCTGATCTACAGCAGGGTTTCTACTGTGACTATTACCAATAGAGAAGCAATGTTGGGATTTATCTAAAAATCTTACTGTTGATGAGATGTTGTTAAAAGGGTGGGCACTGGTTAGTGCTTGGCATTGAGAATTGGTAAATTTTGATTTCACTCACCTTGGGCTGGCAGCTAAGTGGAACTTTGCAAAGTTAATGCATGATTCTCATGAAAGGAACCATATTTGCTTCTAGCACCTTTCAGACCCTGGCTGCTCTTCTGGAATAGTAAGGCAAACCCTTTCCATGCTGGCTTTAAATCACACTAATTGTATGTTCCCTGGGTAGCATTGTCCAAGCCTGAGTGTATGACAAAACCTTTTGTTAGACTAGTGTTTTACGGCAAAACTTTTAGAAGTTCCATAGGCATTTAGATTGTCTCTTAGGCTTTGTTTTGTCTGAAAAATTGTCACGTTTACCCTAGGGTAGAACAGGGCCAGCTAAATCAAGCTACAAGGTGTTGCTCTACATATACACTAGGGTGAAAAGGTTGAGCTTCATTTATGCTTAGCTAATACATGCTGTCTTAGATTGATCTACATTTGACCATTTTATTTAGTCAAGATGAAGTCTAATACTCTGTCTATATTAGCAGTCCTGTCACATTTGACATTGGAAGCCATATACATACATTTTTGTTCAGCCTTGACTGAAGGGAAACTATTAGTATTTTGCTGGTGTGGTCATGGCCGAACAATAACTGATGCATGAAGTGTGAGACTCCAGTTAAATATGGCAGGATTTCTTGTGATTCTACATGTAGGGTTCATATTTGTTCCAGTTTGCACCTGTTGTAATAACTTAAGTCAGTGATGATAGATGAGGACATGAATGATGTGAAGTCAGTGCAGAATTTGACCTTAAGTGAGAAGACCATTGTGGTGACAAGAAAAGGAGTACTTGTGGCACCTTAGAGACCAACAAATTTATTTGAGCATAAGCTTTCGTGAGCTACAGCTCGCTTCATCGGATGCATTCAGTGGACCGTGTGGCACAAGCTGTCAGCATAGTCTGTGAGGTATGTAGATTGTAATAGATTTTTTACCTTCAGTCCTTTTGGTATGATGTCCATCTGTTTACATTTGAAAAGGAAGATGATGTCTGTCTGTATCTGTACAAGTTTTTTCATGAAGTTGATAGATTTCCACTCCATACGGCCAAATTCAGTGCCTTGCATAATGACAGGTTTCAGAGTAGCAGTAGCTACTGCTGAATGCATCCAATGAAGTGAGCTGTAGCTCACGAAAGCTTATGCTCAAATAAATTTGTTGGTCTCTAAGGTGCCACAAGTACTCCTTTTCTTTTTGTGAATACAGACTAACACAGCTGCTATTCTGAAAATTGTGGTGACATTAATAGCATAAATTGTTTGTCTGGGTCTCTTGAAGTGGTTTACTGTGTCCACACAACAGGCAAGTCCATGCATAGCACAAAGTACACCTTTGGTTGTACTGTGTTTTCTGGGGCATGTGACTCGCTTATCCCATAATGCTGGGAACAAGGGCTTTAGGCTTACTTCCAGATGTGAAGCAAACATTGTGTAATGAAATTAGGACAACTGAACCTTTGTGCAGCTGGGAGGACAGTGCTTTGGAGGCTTCAGGTGGTCAGGACTAAAGACTCTCTCCCAGGTATTACAACCAACCATTGCAACCTTCTGTAAAAAGCATAGGTTCTATGCTGAAGTTGAAAGTTTGGGCTGTTCGTTGCACTAGTTTTGCCTAATGTAAGTTTGTAGAATAGTTTTAGCACTGTTGGGTTGCTATATGTAGCCAGGGAAAGCATGTTCAAACAGTGCTAGCATCCTTCTGGGATAAAAAAAACAAGTTTTAAAGTGGATTTACTTAACATAAATTCTCTGTTGTGTTGATCGGGATCTCTCTTGGATAGCTGTTCTGCACTGCAAATTTAAATCAACCTAAGACTATGTCTACACTAAAGCTTATGTTGGCAGAACTTATATTGCTCAAACAAACCTCCCCCCCAAGCGACATAAATTACACCGATATAGCGCTGTCCACACTGGCGCTTATGTCATTGGGAGCACTTCTCCCATTGACATAGCTTCTGCCACACGTTGAGGTGGTTTTATTATACTGACAGGAGAGCTCTTTCCCGTCGGCATAGTGTCTTCACCAGAGGTGCTGCAGTGGTGGTACTGCAGACCTGTATGTGTAGACATGCCCTGTGTTATGTCGATGTACAGCCACCGCAGTAATTGAATTGGTTTTACACGTTTATGCTATGCTCCCTGTGTCGGTGGTGCACATCCTCACCAGGAGCACTTGCACCAATTTAACTGCCAGCCTGGGGCATTGCGGGACAATTTCTGAAAGGCAGCAACAGTTGATGTAAGCAACACAGTGTCTACACCAGTGGTTCTCAACCTGTGGCCCAGTCAGCACACAGTTGCGGACCATGTGATATCCTCAGGGCCATACAGGTAGTATTGGATGCGGCCCACAATGGTATATAGGTTGAGAACCACTGGTCTACGCCGACACGACTTAAGCACTATACCTCTTGCGGAGATGGAGTTATTAAGTTAGTGTTGTGGCAAGTTACATTGCTGGGAGCTACATTT